GACGAGTGTTTCTCAAGCACGGAATCGGAACCAAAAGCTTAGAGCTTCGCTTGCAAGGGGAGAGAGCACATGTGTTACACTCCTGTCCACGAACATGGACCCCCCCAGATGATCCTCCAAGACCGCAGGTCAGGTTCCATGTGGACGAGATAGATGCATCACTATCTCACTTCCTGAGTTCCTGAACTTCAAGTTTTTTTTGGGTTTCGACCGGTTTTCATGGCAAACACAACGGTTGGGTACTTTTTTTCGGCCCATCAGCGGCAGTTTTGTAGCAAAGCCCTGGCCACAGCTCGTGGGCCGACTCGTTGCCAGGCAGCCGACAGCGACACCGAGATCTGGGAGCCATTGGAGGCCTGAGTCGTGAAAGCGACCGCGCCGTTGGGCACCAGAAAAGACCGGGCGAAGCCTCCAGTTGCTGAAAAGAACTTATTTTTTTTTATGTCCGTTGTTTTGGCTTTTGAAAGAGTCATGTTTTCTTTGTTAGCTATCTTGTTGTTTTTTTAAGGGAATGGGAATAGTTTTTTTTGTTTCCCAGGGGGCTTGAGCAAACGGAAGAAGCGCAACCGGAGGTGTCCACCCAGCAGTTTGCTTGGTTCTACCCATGTGGGATTGTCACCCCCCCTGTGGTTTGAGGGATCATGACTCCAGCGAAAGGTTAACCAAAATGAAGGATGACCTGCTCTAGTGGTGCCTTGCAGCGCTGGTGCAGGGGTACGAAGTCGAAACGCATTTGCAGGGTGTCAGGTTTTGTCTTTCGTATTGACGCAAATAACAATGTGCTCTGAAAGAATTACCAGCCCCATTGAGAGCTATAAACTAGATGCCAGTGGCTCAACTCGATGTCGTATGCATATTGATTTCGACCTGTGCTTCCATACTCATCAACCATACTGTGCATGGACAAAACCCTGCATCAGTTGGGATTGGTGGTTTATTACCCATTTTTTATAGGTGTTCATGCATCCCAAGTGGTGCAGGGTCCCACAGTATCTCAGACAATGCGTGTTACGAGTGTGTTATCCGTTGCAAGACCAAGTGATACTAGTGAATCATGCTATTTTAAGCATATTTTAGGCTAGAAACAAATATAGCGACCTCAGAACCAGGTTCGCTGTGCGGCCTCGCTCATGTTGAAGGTTTGTTAGTTGACATGTTTGCTTGTAGATTGCTTTGCTTTTGTTCGTCCCTGTTTTGCCCAGCCATACCACTTCTTGCCATGGGTATCATCCACTGACGATGTCCAAGCCTTGGTGAAGCCGTCCTTGCGCTTGGGCCTGGAAAAGGTTTCCTTGGGCGGGACAAAGTTTGCTCAAACTGGACCATGGTGCCCTTCAAGAGGAAGCCACAAGGATGCTGTTTCATCAAGGGATGTTTTCCACCATGTTTCAACAAGCTCACTTGTCCCAAGCGAATTGACCCCATCTTCTTCGCCTGTGGTTTTTTCCCCGGCCGATTTTTTGTTGGTCGAGGTTCCAGCAAGTCGAGCCTTTGGTTTCCATAGGCTCTATAGAGTGAGTAGTTGGCTTACACCATGGCGATAAGTTGAACCCCCCCTACCCCAACACACGTCCTCCAAGGGTAGCGACCTTCAGGAAACAGTGAGACAAGCCCCTTGTTTTTTTGGCAAGTGAGGTACTCTACTGCCCGTTAACACTTCAAAACCATCTATATCAACCCATACCAACTCATACCAACAAAATGAAGCCAACCCATGACCCATACGAACCCATATCAACCCGGACTCTTAGGGAAACAGTGAGACAAGCTTGCTTTTGTGGCAAGACTGGTACTCTACTCTCCATCAAAACACCCCAACAATTCTCAACACCAAGTACAAAATGGCCCTTAGGGACTTGCTGGCGCCCAGCCAAAAATGAGGGAACGACCCCTGTAAACCATCCAACTGGTGGTTTCCTTTATTCGGGGACCAAAGCCTGGGTTCGTGCTCTATTCCCTACTTATTCCACCAGCAAGTTTAATGGGGAGCCTGAAAAGTTGCCATCCAATTGGTGGTTTCCTTCATTCGGAAAGCCTGAGCACCAGTAAGAGGGTTGGACTAAGGGTCCTGGAGGTTCCAGACATTTTTTGGTCTGAACTCTGCAGGCCTTGGGTAAACGCCCCCGCTTTCTCATTGCCAGGACTTCGCGCGGCGAGTGGAGCAGGAGCAGAGCCAACTCCTCCGCCGCGCGCGGGAGCGGGCCAAGGCGAGACGAGTTCCGGGGATATGGCCATGGGGCAGAACCTATGGCTCCATTTTTGGGGATGAACATCCATTTGCCGCCTATTTCGATGTTCACAGGGGTTTCCTGGGTTTTGCCCCACTGCCATATTGGGGATTCTGAACTCTTTTTTCCTTTTTTTTGTTCTTTCTTCTTTTCCCCCGTTTCAGGGGGTTTCCGTTTCTTGGGGGTTTCCATTTCATGAGTCTTGATTGCTATATTACTATATTGGTTTTGGAGCTTTGGACTTTAACTTTTTGGTTGAAACTTTGGGGGTATTTTCCGAATTGGACCCACAAAAAAGTGAAGCTTTTTGCAGAGCTGTCAACAGCACCTAAGAGTTGATATCCCTTTGGCAAGTGGCGTCATTTCCCCATTTGGGGTGTGGGAAGCTCATGTAAGGGTCAGATGGAGACTCCGGGTATTTCTTGGGGTAACCAGAACTGGAAAGCCACATATGTTTTCTTCAGAGCCTTCCTGCACCTGGCTCCAAATACCTCAGTGCCTTCCGGAAAACCAGTCTACCGGTTGTTCAAAAAATCACACCGCCAAGATCCTGCAAGGCTGTTCCTTTGAAGTGGCTGGTGTCCCTCCCAGAGTTTTTTTTTTTTTTTTTTCCGGAATGTCTGGTTCCTTGCTTTGGATACCTTTGACCAGATTGTAGTACTGCCCTCCACCAGATGGTGGTTGAATGCACTCCACGTTTGGTGACTTGCCAACATCCGGATGTTTATTCAAAAGCTTCTTGTTTGTTTTGCCACTTGGACTGCTGGCCTATGGCTCTCTTTACGCCACAGAGATAGTATACAGCCCGTTGGCCTATGGCTTATGTCCAATGCATGCCACAGAGATAGTTTATGTAATTTTTGACCCCAGATGAATAGCCCCCTGCTTGTTAGTATATGGGCGTGCCTGGTTTTAGTGGGGATTCTGACCACTTTTGGAGTGGCCCCCACCCCCATATTCCAGGTATTGGGCGTGCAGGTTGCAGGGCGAGTGAATTCACGGATTCGCTCTGGCGCGTGGCTGGGTTCCCGGGGTTGTTAGAACCTGCTTAGAATTCTCAGAAGGGGTTCGGAGAACCTTTCCTATGGCAAGCTAATGTGTCTCCGGAATTGGCCAAAAGCTTTGTGTTCTTGCAACCAAGGGTTAACTGGACATATGGCTGTGGGTCAAGGATAGGTCCCCAAAATTGAACAATTGTGGTAACATAGACTAAAACCTGCGGTCCCCTGGTGGGTTAATTTTGACCCATACCTATGTGGCGACTGAAGGAACATCCGTTGAGCATCCACATGCGATCGTTTCAGGTGCTGCGCAAGCTCTGAGGGCGGAATGGTCGAGGCACCTCGACGCGGAGAACTGAAGAGCCCAAACATTGGCAGAATGGCACAGCATTTGCTTGTTCAACGCCGGATGTTGTTTCTTACGGTTTGTTTTTTGTGCATGTTGAGCTGCATGTGATAAATATGCAAATCACATGGGTCTTTGTTTGGCTGCGGCGTGTTTACGACTCCGCCCAGTGGAGCCCGCACAAGCTCGGGGCGGAAGGCGGGCGGAATTCGCCGTCCCATGTAGGTGAGCCGGAATTCGGCTGCAGCTTTTGTGGGGTGCAGCTGGAAGTTGTTCCAAGGGATGATCAGAGGGGTGGTTTTTTGGAGGGTACCTGCTCGTGAGGGAAACCACATGAAACACCCAGCCACATTGGATTCCTTTAGAGACAAACCCTTGGCTTGGCCCTTATCCGAGGTCGCTGGCAAGTTCCAGGCTGCTGTTATCTTGCTGGTTCGATAGGTCATAGGAAGGGAATGACCATTCCGGGTGTTGGGAAGGTACCAGAAGGGGATTCTCTGAAAGGAAACCATAGGGGATGGTCATTCCCTCATTCCCTGCTGGGAACCATCAAGTTATGTGGAGCATTCGAAATCGGAATTCGGCCCACGCACACAGCCCCATTCAGCCGCGAGTGGGAAAAACTGTGCGCCATTTTTTCGCAGCGACTGGTTTAAGCCATGTGCTTCGCAGTACTTGAGACTGCACCATGCCCCAGATTACAACTTGCCAAGTCACGTTATGTTGGGAACAACACCTGCCTATACACCTAACAATACTAATAATATTAATAATAATAATAATAAAACTCCGACATGCTGAAACCTGCTTCCCGGAAATTCCGCCGAATTCCGCCGATTTCCTGCTGCCTATGTTGCGCAGAACTTGGTTTTAAAAAGAAGCTGCCAGGAAAACTAGAAACACCGCCAACAGCAAAAAGGCGGCTTTTTCCAAAAAGGCAGAAACTTCTGCCGATTTGGGTAGTTCAGGGCGTAGAAATATGTACACATGCACATTGGATCAGATAGCAGGACGCCAGATTCTGGCCGAAGCCTGCTTTCCCATAGCTTCGCTCAGATATATATTTTTCTCACTCGGAGCGCCTTACTCGTTCCCATTGCCAGAATTCCACTTGTGTTCCCCCTGCCATTGGACTTTTGGGGGTTCAGTTCCCACCATTAAAACCATTGGGTTCATATTTCACCGTACGGTTTGCCCAAGGATGGTCCTCCGATTTGGGTTTTCGCCCTTCTTTCAATGGGTTCCCTTTTTTCACCACCGTAGTGTTTGCCCAAGCATGGTCATCCTCCGATTTGGGGTTTTTTGCCCTTCTTTCAATGGGGGCAAGGAACCCTAGGGTTGACGGTTTCGGGGGTGGCAGGTACCTTCGGCCACCTAAGGGACACCTGGGGCGCAATCCCTTCGGTTCAAGTCGCTCGATCCCAGGTACACTCGCCTGAAATGCGGGTTCAGCGACCGGGGCCACACCAACGTCCGGCACCCATGGGTCAAATGCCCTCCCACGGATTGATATGGAATCCCTAAAATTTGTGGAGGCAGCTCCTTTCGGGCGACCTTCTTTTTGTGTTTTGTTTTTGGGGATGTTCGATGTGTAGGGGGAGTAATTCACCCAAAGATGGATACATGGAACCCCTAAAATGCATCCAGTAACTCCTTTCGGGCGACCCCCTTCAAGCTTTGATTTGTGGGAGTAATCCAATGGATGGCCAAAATTTTCCGGGTTTCCTCCAGCTTGTGAAATCGGTTGCCCAGGTGTTCACCCTGGAGTACGACATGCTTTGTCCTATCACCTTGCCTCACTCCGCCGGCCCATCCGGCTGAGCTTAAGCCAAACGGATGCTCCCCTTTGAGCAAGCACAAGGGGATCCCGTTGGGCTTGGGGATGGGGTCATTGACAGATGGAGGTTGCTAGGAAAGGCCTGAAACTGGTTGAAACGGACCTTGCTCTTTAGACTCACCGACTGCCATCGTTTTTGTCAGCGTATTTTTCTGCCAACTTTTGAGGCATTTGTTGTTTGGCCACAGGCATGGGTTTCAGAGTTGCCTTTGAGGGAAGCTTGTTTGTTGATTAACCTTCTCACGAAGCGACGCCCAATATCACGATCAAGGTTCATTTGACCTTGAAGATCAAGTTGGTGACAATGTGACATGCAATATCGAGTCACTCAAGCGGATCGTAGACATGACATACTTTGCTTTGGTGAAGTGTCCTTTGAAATGTACGTGACTTTGCCCGCATATTGTAACAGGCGCGTCGCAATATTCTGGCGCAGTGCGCTGTTGCGCACATGCTATATACACTGGATCTGGGATGGCACAATTGGACTGTGTCTCAGGAAATACCATCAAATATATGTGCTTGGATCTACATGCGTTGGTGAGTGAGTTGAGGTTGCCCACGCGGCCTGGCTGACATAAGAATGCCCAAAAAGACAAGTATTCACATGATTCACCATCAACACCCGGTTAAGTGAAGGTTAATAAGGGCGAATCCCAACCAAAAAAATGCTGCGGCCGCCTTTTTCATTCGTCTGGGTCGACCATTTCAATACCGGGTTTTGATTGTGACTCACATGCTATGAATGTCACCTGCAAGTATACCTTTCGTGGCGGCTCATGTGACGCCTCTCAGTCAGACCGGCGGGGCTTGCCGCAGATGTTCGAAGGATCTGTTGCCTTGAGAACATCAGCTTGGTCGCCCATGGGGCGACCTCCACGGCCGCAATTTGCGGCCTCTGGCTTCTAATACATCCGGGATCTCTGCCGAGAGCACGTGGAATTCCCCGTGCTCGGTTTTCCCCTCGAGTCAAGAGCTGCAGACATGTGGCATCCACATGTTTGTCTGGCCGGCAAAGCCGGCGCAGCATGTGGCAGGTGTCCACATGCTGGTTTTGACCCTTCGGACCTGGTATACATCCATGGTCTCCTGCGCCGGGCTGCCCAGCGCCATGTGGAAGAAGCCATGTTGAGCACATGGCCCTTCAACTGTCAGTCCCGCTACGTGCCGCCTTTTAAACGGGATGAGCACTCTCCTAATTTTGCCCACTTTTCATATTTGCCAAAGTATCCCTGGAGTCACGCAAACGACTTTGCTTTCTTGGCTGTTCAGGTGATGCACATCGTGTCCGCGCGGGATTTGCCCTTCGCCACGCATTCCATGATTGTGGCCGCGGGCTGAGTTCGTTATCCGAGGTTCCTGTTTTGTTGTCCCATGTCTATCAGGGAACCAGAGGGGGAGTACCCGTCATCGGAATGACTGTTTTTGTTGGGGCCCCAGAAAACATGGTGGTTTTCTTTCAGGTTTCCGTTTAAAACCACAAAAAGGGGTGCCCTCAACAAAGACACACCAAATATGATCATATATGTACCTTGGATCTGGAGCAACATTGAATATGTTTAAAATATCGGGGCCCCGGCATTCGTTCCGAATGGCTTCAAAGAGAAAGCAACACATGTAGAATGTTGTTATAATTACATGCAAGGAAGGAGGTCACCTGACAAACCATGCGTTTCAAGCTGTCAAAATGAGGACTTTCGTTTCCAAGCTTTAGGCCCCCCCCCACCCCGTTCGGGGACACACTTGTTGGCTCCCATGGCCCAAAGCCTCAATTGGCCATTTTAAATTGTTGTTCTACTGCCTGGTCTTATGGTGGGTAGAGTAAGGCTGTATATCAGGCCTTGCGTCTATCAGTAAATAACCCCCTTTCTTTACCAGTGTTAGGGTGTTAGGAGGGGGTACTTGGGGCTATATATACAATCCTTTACAACCATGGGTGATCAAAATTACACCACCAGACGGCCCACAGCTTCCATGTTTTACAGTTACCAGGGCTTGCGCCATTCTGGGGTTACCCTTTTTTCTGACCCATGACCGCTCGTCCCACAAGTCAGCTCCGGGTTTTGGGCAGCTCCCGAGGAGAACACCCTTACGGTGAGCGTGCGTGAAGAGGACCTGCTAAGAAGTGAGGCCAGGGACCTCCGGCGGCATCGTGAGCGCGCGTTCTGCGTGCCTCCTTCTCGTTTTTTTGTTTGGGGGTTTCTCCCCCTTTTTTCTGGTGCGTTTTTTTTTGTTTTTTTCCCTTTTGTTTTGGTTCCTTCCCCTTTTTTGTTTTTTTTCTTGGTGCCCCCTTTGATTTTTGGGGTTTCAAAAGACCGGAGAAAGGGCTCCGAGTCGGAGTCCGAGGAAAAGGGCGGGCCACCCATATGGTTGGCTGGTCCTTTTTGTGGTCTAAGCAACACCAAAAGCAATCAGAGGCTCTTTTGTGGGGTTCCGATTCCTATGCCCTTTTTTAATTTGTTGGGCTTCCCAATGACGTCCGCCAATGGGTCCCCAAAGTGTGAAAACCATACCCAGATGACTTAATGTGAGCAATGGTCAATATTTACTGCCATCTACATTAGTAGGGGATGACACCGTGGACACTCGTCCAAATACACTTGGGAAATGGGAGCTTTCACCAGCATCCCATGACAGTGCAAAAAAAGGATTGCTAAAATAGCATTGCCATATGGATTTGTCTCCGGCTGGGCAATCTCGAAAACCAGGCCTTTTCCAGACTACCCGCACAAAACAAGGCATATGAGCACCCATATGGGGTTGTCTCAAAGTAGGAATCGGACGCTCCTTTTCGTGGTCTTAGGAGAATACCTCTTCGAGCGTGGCATGGACACCTTATTGGTGGACAATTGAATTTAGGGCCACCTTTTGTGATAGCAAGTGTCTATGTTTCGTAGCGCAGAAAGGCATATTTTCCGCAACTCTGCTCATAGTTGCTTGCGACATTATATATGTGAATGCTCTTCTGGGAAGACAAGTCCAATTCCAGGCCACACACAGCAACGTAGCAGTTGTTGCATTTGTTTGTCTTGCTTGCAAGCTCTTCAACCTGCGCATCACGTTCAAACATTACATCGTGACAGGCTCTAAAGTGTTGGCAAGCCACTCGCCTGCGGGGTGTGAGCAAGGATCTTCAGCAACCTGCCGTGCAAAGACAAACTTCCCAGGGTATCGGTTTTGGCGGGGTTTGCAGCCTCCATGAAGACGGTCCATGGTTTTGTTGCAAAAGCGATGCGCGCAGCGAACAAAAAAGTTTGTGGTTGGAGGTGCGTTCCGGCGATCCCAATGTTTCCTTTGGTGCATTTTGCTTGGATGTTAGGACTTTAACTTTTTGCCAACTATTTGTTGCTTTCCATGAAACCACTAAAAGCTAAAGCTTTTAGCAGGGGAGCAGAAAGCTATCCCAATGTTTCTGAGTGGGTTGCGGGGATGGTCAGGTCAATGGAAACTCGTTGCAATGATCGTGTGGCCCCGCGCGTCTTGTCTCCGACTTGGTTCCCATGGCGCCAGAAACCGAGCGACGGGCAACAGGGGATCGGTGTAGACTGGGGGGAGGGGGTGTCTTTTTTTAGACGACCGCCCCCCCCAAAAAATATGTTTTGTTTGTTTTTTCCCCTCTGACATGGGCCCAAAACAGGCAAGCGCCCCCCCCCGAAAAGAAAAAGAAAGGAAAGACAATCCCATTTCAGGCTGTCTCAGTTCTAGGCAAATGACGGGGGGGGAATTAACGGGGGGGAAATTGTGTTTGACCTTGGTTTCCTTGAGAGAACCCAAGAAAGGTCACTCAGAACAGGCATAGTGACCTGGGGAAAATGAAGTCGACGGCCAGGCCTGCCCGATTTGCTTAGAGACCTTCCAAGTGGGCGACAAGGCTTTGAGCTGCGGGAGGGGTCCAGCTGCGGGCGTTGCATCAAGCGGTTTTCATTCAGATCATGTAAAACCCAATTGGTGGTTTGGATTGGTGGTTTGGATTGCTGGTTTGGGGATTAACCGCGAATGCAACCCAGCAGCTGGGGGCAAGCTGAATAGGAGAGTGCGTCATGGATGGGTCAGCGCCGGGATGCATGAGCAGCTTCTAGGAGATAGATGATTGATGGTGATTGCACACATGAGGCGTTGTCAGCACCCTCCTCCCCCCATTTGACCCTCTTTGAGTGTGGTGCCTGCTTGTTGCATAAGTACCATGCCAGTTCATGTTCACTAGTCGTTGCATGTTTCCGTGCGCGTTTGAAGTACACACCCCCACCACGTGCTGACCGCCATGGCCGCGGCCAGCTCCGATGCCATCCTCGTCACCGAGAAGCAGCGCCCGCCGCGGCGCACGGAAGGCGGCGGTTTCATCATCGCCGACCTCATGAGCGACCTGCCGGCCAAGCGCACGGACCCGTTCCTCCTATGGCACGAGCTGCCGCGCCATACTTATCGGGAGGGGGAAATGCCGGGCGCTCCCATGCACCCCCACCGCGGCTTCAACGAGGTGCCTTACGCCAAGCTGATCGCCGGCCCGACGCCCCACAACGCCATGAACGTCAAGGACCACGAGGGGCGGGAGTGCCTTATGACCACAGGCTGCGTGGAGTGGGGCAAGGTGGCGGTGGGGCTGCAGCACGAGGCTCTCATCGACCGCCGCTGGCGTGGCGAGATGCACTTCTTCCAGCTCTGGATCAACCTGCCGCGGGCGCACAAGTTCGACGCCCCGGGCTTCCAGAGAGCCGCGCCCAGCGCTCTGCATGTGGTGCCCTTCGGCGAGGCCGTGCGCGCCAAGGTGCTGGTCGGGTCGATCGAGGGCCCGCTGGGAAAGGCCTCGTCCCCCATCCAGTCCGAGTACACCCCGATCCAGTACGTCGACTTCATGCTGGAAGAGGGGGGCACTCTCGTTCACACGCCGCCCCAAGAGTGCACCACCATGTTCATGTACGTCTACGCCGGCGCCGGAGAGGTCAGAAGTGGAGCTGGCGGCAGCAGCGTGGTGTCGCAGGGTGAGTTCGTCGTCCTCGCCGGCGGCGGCACGCTGACCGTGACCTGCACCGCGGCGCGCGACCGGGGCGGCGACGACTACGACCTTGGCTTCCTGTGGATATGTGGAAAGCCGATACTTTGGTGCATTCTGCTTGGATGTTAGAACTTTAGCTTTTTGCCAACGAATGGGTTTTCCGGATTAAACCACAAAAGGTTAAACGTTTCGCAGGGGAGCAGAAAGCAGCTGAGGATAGGCGAGCCGATCGTCCAACACGGCCCCTTCGTGATGTCCTCACGGGAAGAGATCAAGCAGTGCTTTGACGACTTCCAGCGCGGGCGGCTGTGCCAGAAGCCGCTCTCGTACCAGGAGCATACATAGCGCCAAGTGGAAAAGCTAAAGCTATAGTCGAAATTTATGGCACACAAGGTCGGCCGCACCACAAGAAGGGGCATATCGCAGGAGGCATGCACAACTTCCCAACCGCCCCCCCTCAGGCCAACTCCAAGAAAAAACACAACCCACCACACCTCACACACACACACAGCAGCCACACCACATCGTCAAACCGACCCGAATTTGCTCATCCACTGGCAACACTCTGCGAGAGCTGGTCCTTGCCTCAAATCCAAGTGCCAAGTATTGCCGGGTTATGGGGTTGGTCACTGGTGTCACTGCTACCTATATCGGAAAAGCTTTCCGTGAAATATGTCAAGCTCGAATATTCAATCCAGTGGTAGAATACGCTCGAGGGTTTAGAACAACTTGAACATGTTTAGGGGTTGACCAGGATGGATGATTCTCAAGAAAGTTGTTGTTTGGGCAATCCTCAATATTGAATCCTCAATCCAGTGGTAAAGCACTTTCAATCGTTAGAATATCTTGAATGTTGTTTGGGTTTGGCCAGGATTGACAATTCTCAGGAAAGTGTTCTGTGTAGTCTTCAATCTTGATTTTTGTCCATCCAATGGAATCCAGTGGCAAAATACTTTCAAGTGCTTAGCGATAGAGTGGAAACACTTTCAATTTATTAGTTATACACATTTTCAATTGCTTTTGGCGAGTGGTTTGCTTCATGTTGGCTATGCTCATGTTGGCCCTTTTGCAGAAATTAGCAAAGGCAGGTGTAATGCTCAAAAGCACTGTATTTTACAGTTTTCTTTGTGTATGAAGAGGCGCAGGATCATTAGGGGTACTATATATGTGTGTATGTATGTGCAAGTTGAACTTTAAATACAACTGATTTAGCTAGAATCCCTGTTTTCAGAGTTTTAGAATCTGAACCTCTCTTTCCTTGAAATTTCCTTTTGGAACACCGTCTAACAAGTTTAATTTCGGAACTGGGCCAGAATATGAATAACACAAATCGTATTTCGAAACTCCTTATGGAAGTACCTTAAATGTTTAGCCATGTTTAAGATGAATTATATTTGAGAAGTAGTCTCTATTGAAATGTGATTATCAACAGCTTGTGTTCGTATTAGATTATATCTACTTGGATTATATGTGGGAATAAACTCCTATCTAACTTCTTTTGTTAACGGTTAGTTGGAGTTTACCCGAAACTACATTTACATGTTCATGTAGCTCCTATTTGGAAAGGATTTGCTTGTATAAGCTGTAATTGAACATAAACAATTTTTGGAGAACTATGTCCGAACTGAATTATATTCAATATTACAATTCCATTTGAAGTAAAATCCTATTTGGAAAGAGTATCATATTGGGACATTTTGGAGGACTCCGGGCTCCAAATTGTGAGGTTTTGGGGACCTACAATTGGACATTTCTAGAGTTTAAATCTCGAGATTCTAGATGTACCATCCCCAAAAGGCAGTAAAACCAGGGTCTATGGGGGGTTGCATATATATATATATATATATTTATGCGTCTCATGACTATACACGTACACATATCGTATACAGTTCTATATCTTTACACATGTATATGTGTCTTGTTTCCCAGACTTGTTTTATTTTTTCACAACCACAGATAACTTTTGGCGGGGTGAATGTCGTCCAGGTGCGGCGGCTGCCGTGCATGCACTGCTTCCACATGGTGGGTGCGGAGCCATGGGATTTTTGGATGGGGAATCGACTCAAAATGGAGTGTTTTCCTCTGTGGGTACCCTCTCCGGGTTGGTTTTAAAGGTAAACCGAGGATGATCCTCAAACAAGGCATTGTTGAGGGTTCTATAGGGGATACTGCGGGTGTAGAAAATCCGGCACCAGCTGGGATTTGTGTTTTTCGCCATTATCATAGGGGGTCATTCACCCCAACTGCTGCGGGATGTTGTCCATCCACAGCGGTTCTTTTCAATCACCAATCCGGAACCCACATATGTTTAAAGTTTCGTTTTAGCACCTTGTTGGGTGGGTTTTTGGCGGGCACAACCACAAATCCACACATGGGTATGTGTCAAGATAGGGGGATCCTTCAACAGGGACTTTGGTTTCCTTTTGGTTTCATTTTGGAACCACCCCTGCCGATGTAATCATTCAGGCCCCCCGCTACCTACCCGCCAAATTTGTTCTCAAATCTTGAGTAAGAGCTAAGTCTATGCACCCTGTGTCGCGTTGTGGGGGCGCTGGGTTTTCCCGCGTGTGTTCCATTTCTTTGACGTTAAACCTATGTAGTGGGCGTTTCCCCTTGCAGCCAACTCCTGTCATCCCAATTATAGCTATGGTTGCAACCTACCTGGAGTCTCCATGATTCTTTAAACAATGGGTCCATGACCAACCATTATTTGGGTAATGACCAACCATTTTTAAAGGGTCAGAAGGAGACTCTAGGTACTTACTAAGCAGATTGAACATCGCAGTTGGTTTCTTTAAGTAGGACGCCTACCACAGCACCAAAGAAAAACGGGCCCATGGGCACCACATGATGTGCGAACGACAGCTCCACCTACGCGAACTGATTGTTGCTCACTGGTGTAGGGTTAAAATAATGGTATACCCAATTGAGATGACAACCCTTAGACAAACAATGGTGGTTACAGGGGCTTCCATTGAACCATAGTTGATATTTAAGAATGGTGAACAAGGGTTTAATCCTTAGGCAACCAATGGTGGTTATATGCACAGGGACGAGTCGGGGATTCAAGCACCAGAGTCAGACTAAAGGACCGAAACGCTGAGGCGGCGAGCCTTCCTCCTCGCAGGGCCGGCACTGTAACATTGACAAGTGGCTGGCTCAGTGTGTGTATGATGGTATGTATACATATACATATGCTTGTATTAGAATATATATATATATAAATAAATAGATGTACTTATATATGGCTAGGAATTTGAAGTGTGGAAAAAGCACCTCAGTGGTGACGTGGATCCCAACTTAGATGATTTTTATTCAAGATTCCCCAATCAATCATCATACCCATGTGTTGGTTTAGTGTGTTGAAATGTTGTGTTCCTTGGAAAAAAAGGGGCTTGTGCACTTCCGTGTTGGGTGGTAGGATATGTTTTTGAGCTACACCCATTTGTACCCATATGGGTTGGTGTTGGTTTGTTTACTGTGTTTTTGGTTTGGTTCCATGCATGCCAGTTTGTATGTGTTGTTTGTTTGTTTATCGTTCGCCTGGTTATGGATATTATTAGGTTTATTCCTATGAGCAATGTGGGTTTGGGTGGTGATCAAATGAGCCAAGAAGGTTGACCAGTGGAAGATGACAGAAATTCGTCAGCAACTTACTTCCGAGCCATTCGCAGAAGTGCCTCCTTGCAACCAAAGACCTTTCGAGCTGGCACTTGTGGAACCGCGCTTAAACATGGAATCCTTGTCGTTGCAGCTCATGTAACTTATGTTCAACATATATATATATAGATGTATGTACGCATTTGCTTCATGCATGCATGACCCACAAGTGGTGGCCATACGGGCTATGCGGCAATCATTCCTATCAACACATGAGGGATGACGACAAAAGGACAACAGGTATTGTCTATGTTCTCAGATCTATGCGTTATGTTTATGGCGGGTCCTTGGTGTGTTGGCATTGTTGTTTGTATACAAAGATGTTGTTCAGCCTTAAACTTGAGTCTAGCTTTCTGGACTCTGCATGACACACATGGGGTCAGAACCCCAAAAACAATCAGGACCCCGTTGGTGAAGAATGATGAACTCGCCGCTTAACTTTGCTCGAGCATAGGCCTGCAATTGGAAGTGTTATATGACTTTGGCAATAATTTGTCCATCAGCCGAGGGTGGTGATGTTTGCGGCAGCATGTCCGCCTGTCCTTTTTTGAAGAGCCCGGTTTGAAAGGAAAGGGAAGCCGAAGCCTCGGGTTTCCGCGCGAAACGAGGCAACGTGCGTCCGCATGGCTGTGGCTCAACAATCGGGTCACCAAAGGACATTTGCGGGGGTCCGCGAACCCTCCCAACAAACTTGGAAGTGCAGATGCCCCTTTTGGACCACTTTCTTTTTGGAAAAAGGGGGCTTGTGCACTTCCATGTTGGGTGGTAGGACATGTTTCTGAGCTACACCCATGTGATGCGTCAATACAGGGCCCCTAGTGCATTTGCTTGTGATTTGCATGTTCACCGACGTAAAATGGGCTACTCCTCTCAAAGAAGAAACCAACTGCTGACATAAATCCCCACCTCAAAGTCCAAAGAGGTCTTGGACCTATTGAATTTCGTGTGGATTGAGGCACCTGGTGGTGAACAAGCAGTGCCCCGTCTGCAAGACCCCGATTGACATCATGGCCTAGAGCCCCAGTTCTCGGAAGCCGACGACCAGATGCCCAAGACCAAGTGCCAAAGAAGCCATTTTGAGTTGGCTCTACATGGTTCGGGGTTCATAGCAGGTTCATGGGCCTGCACAAATCAATTCTTTGGTGCATTCTGCTTGGATGTTAGGACTGAACAACTTGTTTGCCAACGAATGGGGTTTTCATATTAAACCACTTAAAGTGAACAACTCTTAGCAGGGGAGCAGAAAGCGACTGGGAATCTATGTATACCTATGAAATGGTCTTGGACCTTCATGTCAGGTTCGATGTTTGTATGGGAGGTACCTCTTAGTATCCCCACGGGTTTGTGGGTATCACGCAGCCTTAACCAATGGCAAGCAATTCCAGGGAGGTATTCAAAAAGGCGCATGGTAGTACATATGTTTTACGACGTGGCTTCACGGGGTTGGCAGGCTAGGCCCAAAAATAGATCTGAACCACCGCAGCAGAACCAAAAGTGAAAGGGGCTTCGGGCGCTGCTCACGTGGGGTTGTGCGCTTTTTTGAGGGACTCCTGGTTCACTGTGGTTGAAAGGGAAAGCAAAAGGTCATGTTTGGTTTTTTGGGGGTCCCCTATTTTGACGCATCTCTATGTTGACCACTTGTTCATAAGCCCGGTCCGGTCCTGTGAGTAAAACAAAATGGAGTCCCCACCATCAGGGACCCCCCCGTGGATATTGAGAGGGGCGTGTGACTCAATGCACATTCAACGTTCTCTTGACCCGTTGCATGTTGCCAGGGTCCTGTCCTTTCTTGTTTCGGTAGGTGTTAACCGTCGCCCGCGGGGCCATTTCTTTTGATGGGATCGATCGGTTACGGCGGTGAGGCAAGCAGATACAGACCCCCTTTCAAGTGACAAGATAGTCATAGGGATTGACTTTGGCGTCTTTGGTGTGGGGGGCGGGGTCCTGTATTTGGCTATGAATTCCTCAAAAGTGGCTGATGGATACCCATTGATAGACGCCCATTTGGAGCAGGTTACAGAATGCAGGCAAGCTTCTACTGTTTCAAGCTTTTCAATTCGCTGTGGATCACCCTATTTCATGTCCTGCGAATTTAGCAAAGGCATCCATTCCCTGCTTTGCAGGAATCATTCTGTAGGCGACACAACGCTTTATAGGTTTAGCAATTCTTGATCCCGGATCATTTTGTGTCCTTTAAACACTTGATATCATGATTACAACCATTTTGGTCAAGTCGAACCAAACACCAATGAATCTCGGGGCCTGCCTTCTTGCCAGAAACGGCGCTTGACTGAGGAGCGGCTGGAAAACGACCGGAACTCCACCGCAGGGAATCTCGGGGCTGCAATCGGATGTTGCTCAAAATTGGAAGCCCATTTTTGGTATGGTAACGGTGAAAAGGACACCTACCTGGACGAATTGGTCCGACTAATTTGTAGACACCCATTTTACGGATTTTGCACCTGGGCCTACTCCATTTGTTCACCTGGCGCTTTCCATTGAATTTCTAGTGGCCTTGTCTCAAGGGGGGAACCTCCAAAATGAATGGTGTTCCTGCCAAAACCCCGTAAAAAGGGGGATCCAGAAAAGACACACCCTGTCAAAAAGGGTACCCTTGTTTCGCATGGCACCCAGAGGTGTGACCGAACAACTTTGCACCTTCCTTTGCCGACCTATGAAGAGAACCAGCCCTTTTGGAGGCCTGAGAGGCAGCGAAAGCCAAAGGCCTGAAACGGGGAGTCAAGTCAGGGCACGCAGAGAGGAAACGACAAAGGAGGACAGGCTGAATAACATGCAGCTGATGCAGTCCGCTGGTGGTTGATAGAAATTCACCACGGTGCAGGTGCTTTGGATGGTGGACTAAGGTGTACATATATACATATGTATACATATGTGTGGCTTTCAATGTTTGTCCCTTGGTTTCATTTGTTTCGGAATGCCTCCTGTGTGACCATTCAATTGTTCTCGCCTTTAAGAACGTTTTATTGTTCGCGTTGGCTACTCACTGACAGCTCTGTAGGGCTGGCAGACATTAAAACAAACACTCGCCGGCTTGTGTGTCCAACACGCGCTCAAGAGCCTTCTTAGGTTGTGTCCAGCGAGAGCACAATGGCACGGCACCCAATAGGTGCAATGTCTTCATGCCGCTGTTCCGGGTTGAAAAGGCAGCTCACATGGATGGTCGGTTTTTGGCATTGTTCCAAGTTTGCCAGCAAAAGCTTGCCGGCCACGCCCGAAGCAAAAAATCCCGACTTTTTTGGGCGCCTGATCTCTGAGCCAGAGCGGCAGGCCAGCTACTTGCCCTCAGCGTCAAGCGCGTCCCCCTATGACTGGGACGGCCCAGTAGTGCCCTTTCACCCTTTTTTGGCGGAGGGTTCCCCGACTAAAATAGACTACAGAAAAGAGTTGGACCTAGACAACTGCGCTTGTAGAGAGCAGCGGGAAGCCGCTTTCTCACAATTGCACTGATGCCTGATCGACTCGTGCTGGAAGAGTGCTAAGGCCATTACCAGCGGCGCCTTGCTCAGGCTTTGCTGTTAGCGAGGGCAGGGGAAAGACGCGCCACCGTGGTATATCTGAGCATCATGTGCGGCCTTTCACTTGGGACAAAGCGAACAATTTGCGCACGAAGGTGAGGTTTGAGGAAAGCGTCCCACAGAAACCACCCGACTCACTAATTGTCCCACGTGTTCTTGGGGAGCTCAGCAATTTTGACTGTGGATCATGTGCCCTCAACCACCTGCACACCTGCAGCGCCGCAAGGCGTCACCTGTGCCCTTGCAATGTTCAGGCTATTGTTTGCATTGCCTCACCAAGGGACTGCAGAACCACCAGCCGGGCGCTTGGCAAGAGCATAGTGTCCATAGGCTCTGCAGCTTGTTCGGTTGTGTTCCGTTTTGCGAGCAGGGGGGTTCCTTTGAAATGAAACATGTATGTCACTCGAAAGCCGTGGTGGAATCCTGGAACCCCCCCTCTACCCCGCAAGAATCCAGGCACCTTCCTCTGGGGCCCCCCATGTGCAGTGCCACCATTCAGGTGTGTATGCTTTTTGACGGTACTTTGTTTGTTGGTTGGTTTTCAAGGAGAACAAAGGGAACGCCAGCAACTTTTTGGATCTATCTCGAGACAACCCAGCCCCTTGCCTTTGGTTGTGTGAGTTCCCAAACGATGGCCGACCCCAAAAAGGAGTCCGTTGTGCTGCCATTGCGGGTTGCCACTGCAAAGGTGGAGCCTGCTGAAGCTGCAGCTGACTTGTTGGTTCAAGTTATTTATAGTACGGGTCAAAATTTAACCACCCGGAATTGGTGTGGTCCATGTTTCCATTTACCAGGGCAAGCCATTTTGGGGCACCTATTGTTGACCCCACAGCCATATGGAGGTTCTCCTCAGTGCCCCCAAAGCCCAGGAAGGCCTAGGACTTCACCATAAGACCAGGTAGAGGTCAGGCACCTGCCGGAAGGTGAATCAGACCCCAGGGAGTTGGTCTTTTGAGGCGTGAAAGTCATCTACCCCTTTGGGATGTTTGGTTTTTGAGGGGAGCCAAATGAAAACCCAGCATTTTGGTGGGTCCAACCTGGCAAAAGACGGGGCACATGCCATGGATCATAGCATCCGATGCTGGGGCCTGTTGGGTTTAGTCAACGGGTCACCCGAATGAAGACCTTGGTTTCAAGCGCCTAAACCTGCGGTTCCAAGAGACATACAGAACAGGGCATCAGCTACGCCCCCTGTTTTTTGTTTGTTTTTTGGTTGTTTTCGCTCTTTGTAGGGGACCTGCCTGCAATCCAGTGACTCCAAGATCTTTTGGTTTTGGGTCTCACAATTGTATTGGGGACTCGGGGGCCCTCAAAACGCGGCCGGTTTCCTTCTGATTCGCCGAATCCAAGCGATATGCGCGCCTTAGCTTTTCCCAGGCACAGCCCCAGGCGACAGAAGCCAGGCTCCGCATATGGCCGTCTTGCCAAAGATCGAAGTTTGCCCACCTGGATCCAAAAGAACTACCCATACAAGACGGGAATTCACCCCATATAGTTGTAGGTTGCAAGAACACATTTTGAAGTTTTTGTGTGAAGGTTTGGCTATTTCGGTGGAATTCCGGCTATTTGGCTGAATCGCAGGCGGTTTCGTCGTTGTTCTTCCTTCGGCCTTCCAGCCTTTTCTGAGCCTGTTGAAGAACGGCTAACAATTGTCCGGAAGGATGGTGTAGGTATAATGGTGTTTTGGACTTCTTACGTGAAGGCCATCAGTCCATGTTGATTGGACAGCTTTCACTACCAGGTACCCTTGTCCCCGTGCTTGCAGCGATGTTACGATGTCGCTGTTTGTATTGACAGTGTCCGGTGCCTCGGACGACAGATCTTGATCACGGATCGCCATCGAAGTTTCTGTGATGTTCAGAGAGATACGCGGTCCGATCTTGCACAACCCAGACCTCCAGTGCTGCCCTTGTTCCTTTTGGGGGGGGTGTAACAACTTCTCGAAGAACCAGGTGGTATCCCCAGCAGCCCGGAACCCCCCGCTCATCGTCCTTTTTCCCAAGGCCACTCAAGGCTCTGAGCCGGCAGGTCTCAACCACCAAGCTGGGCTGAAACTTCGCAGAAGGATCCTGTCAAGTGGCTGTGGGTCAAAACCAATGGGTTACTATTTTGGTTGGTAGGTGAATTCACCACCCGTTTTGGAACCTATTTTAGTGGGATTCGGATGTTCACTGCAGGTTCGGGATTTTGACCCATAGCGGAAACCTTGTGTCTTCTCTTTGTGGCGCCCAGCCCTCCGGTTCCTTGGCTGTTTAGCCTTTTAGTTGGTTTAGTGGTTGGGTTTCCATTCAACCCTTTTTTTTTAGCAGGGGATTTGAGGGCAGCCCAGTTCTCCCACATGCGGCCAAGATCTGAATGCTTCAAGCGTGTATGATGTACATTAGGGTCTGCTTGATGGTTGGGCATTGTCTAAATGGCATTAGATTCCGGTTTGGCAATCCCTTCACAGTTTTCCAGTGTTGCGTGTCTAAAGGTTGAACATCTAAAGGTTGACCACACTTAGTGGATCCCCTTAGCCTTTTAGCTTTTTAGTGTTCAGTGGTTACCTGGTTGGGTTTCCAAGCCAACTCGCTAATTCGTTAGTCACTTTCAGCGGGGGATCTGAAAACGGACAGCCCACAGCTTCACCGTAGATTGCCCATCCGCCAGCCCACGTCAGGCCCGCGCCGGCGCCGGCGCCGACCGCGTTGGAGGCGGAGTGGGTCCCGATCTGCGAGAGAAGGTTTTGGGGCTTCCCCTGGAGTTTCTGCGGGTGAGGTGGCTGTGGTTGTCAAAACCGTTTTGGGATCAACCATTTTGGTAGGTGAATTCAGAGCCTATTTTAGTGGGGATGGGGATGTTCACTGGGGGTACGATTTGGACTTTGACCCATGGCCATGTGGGTGTGTGTGTGTGTTTTTTGGAGTTGGTGCCGTCTTTTGGAGGTTTTAAAGGGAAACCTGTCGGAACGACGAAATCCATCTAGGGGTGTTTCCCCGCAAAAAACCCACGCCCATGTCTTTTTGTTGATGACCGTCTTGGCAAGCAAGAAGTTTGCGCGGTTCTTGGCCACGGGAAGTGAGGTCATGGCTGGGATCTTGCAGATTTTGGCTACCAGACCAAACAAACCAAGGAGAGCTGTGGACCTTGGGTGCCACCAATTTTGCTCTCGACCTGAGCTGCTCTGAACCCCAAATGGGCCAGACCTTTCCGGTGGCTCGGTGCGTGTCTCGATGGTAGGGGCCGCAGGTTTAGGCCTTGTAACTTGGGTCAAGGATGAGGATGGTTGGTATGCTTTTTCCTGTTGGTTTCATTTAAAAAAAAACAAGAAAAACACACACACACACACAGGTCCAAAAAAAGCAGCTAGGATTCCCTGCTTGGTGTATGCTTCCAAAACGAACTAGGTATCCTTCCCGCTTTCTTGTTAGTCAAGACCCAGCAGAGCCAGCAGGGCGATTCCCTTTTCGTGGTCAGGCAATCGCCAATTCGGTTTTCATGTTTGATCAGTCTCAGGGATCTTCCCGTTTGGCTGTTACGGAGAAAGCAACATGTGCTGATGACACTCCTTGATTCAATATCTCCCTTCAGTTGAGTGCCAGTTTAGCAAAGAGACTGATTCCCTGAGGTATCTGGTGAGGAGGGTAGTTTTAACCCCGGATTAATAAACGCCTGGTTGATAGGGGGGTGTTCCCTTTTAGTGGGGATTCATCGCTTTTGGAAAAAAAAGGGAACCAAAAAAGCAAATAATGGGACGGGTTTATGAATCCTGGGTTAACATTCAACGGGTAAACATTTATCAATCCTGGGAAACACCTTAAGCCTTGGTAATGCTTGAGTGCTTCCCTGAGGTTTCTGGTGAGGAGGGTGAACGGTAGTGCCAAGGGTCAACCGTTTCTTGGTTGCGTGGGGGGAACACATTTGCTTCGTTCCAGGCGGCCGAGACTTCGGAGCGGCTCGGCCTCGAGTTGACACACATGTCTTTTCAGCGGAGCTTTGCAAAGCGCACTCCAGCTTAAGAATTGTGTTTTTGTTCTTCCCCCCCTGTTGGTTTTAAAGGGAATGTGTCACTACTGGAAATATGTTATTTTTTCTTTTCCAGGGGTCTTAACCAAATGGAAGATTTACTCTGCCGCCAAATGCAGACGATCAAGAAGAGCTTGTTTTGGCAGAACGCTGATGCCTACGCCAAGCATACGTATACTTATGGTCCACTGATATTTATGGAACACACCTACCTTTGTTGTAACTTATTCATGCTGTGAAACTCCTGCACTGATTGGTAGGGGTTTGTCCCAGTTCTATGGTTTCACTCATTCCAACTGGTGCGAGTGCCTCAAGGAATAATAGTCAGTTTTGTCCACACGGCTGCTCAACAATCGGGCAGTTACTGCCCCCCCCCCCCACACCAGTTTGTAGAAAACAACTTAAAACAACAATAAGATTTGCGGTTTCCCTGGTCCGCAATTTTGAGCCACAAACCCGTGAGATGGACATCTGGTTCATTTTGTGGCAACCACGGGCCAGTCACCTGCTACACAGGCAACCAGGAAGCGCTGGGCACACACTTGGCCATGGGTCAAAAGCCCGTACCCCCCAGTGAACATCCCAATCCCCACTAAAATAGGTTCCAAAATGGGTGGTGAATTCACCTACCAACCAAAATGGGATCCCAAAACAGTTTCGACAACGACAGCCACTTAAAAGTCACAACTGCAGAACTGCCCCCGGGGGCATCTCGCGTGCCTTGTTGGCATCCTGAGGTCCAGCCCAAGACTGCCGGAGCAGGCGGAGATCGTGGGGGAAATTACCCATTCTTTATTTCGTTGAGGGGTAGGGCATGTGCAATATACATATATATATATACATATACATATATATATATATATACAAATCCATATACCTATATATATATATAGATATATATATATATACATACACATATATATACATATACATATACATAGGTCATATATATATACATACACATATATATATATATATACACATATACATAGGTCATATATATATATATATGTTTTATATAGGTACATATGTATAGATACCGATATTCAGAGAGATGCATTGATCCCCCCGGCCCACGTTACACCATGAAGGGATCCCCTACGGTCAATCGCGAAGTGGTGTCCTGCTTGATCGGGCCATCCGGTTGATGCCTGATCGGGCCATCCGGTTGATGCGTGAGTGAACCGTGTTGGCCCCATCGCGATCAATGCCGAAGGCAGCCGAGTTGGAGAGGGTGGTGAGAAGCTTGCAGTGGGCAGCTGAGCATCATGCAGTCACCCGTTGACCGTCTGCATTCTATCACTGACCATCACATGGCCATGGGTCAAAATCCCGTACCCCCAAGTGAACATCACCATCCCCATTAAAATTGGTTCCAAAATGGGTGGTGAATTCACCTACCCACCAAAATGGGATCCCAAAACGGTTTTGACAACCACAGCCACATGGCTTTGCAGAGCACGGTGTCTTTTCAATTGGCGTGTTGCGCTCGAGCTCTCGGAGCGCTGCCAAGTCTGCATTAATAGGTCATTGCTCAATTGCTCACGCTGTCAGGCGGTACCACCAAGTGCCAACAGTTGGTATCGTGCCCAAAAGCAAACAAAGGGGGCCCAGTTCAGATCCCCTATTCAACACCCCGACTAAGCAGGTTCTGTGTCTTTGGTGCTGTGAATTAGAGGGCCGCTGACGCCTGTTCAATCGAAGGACCCATGCTGCCACGGCAGCCCCTGCATTCTAAGGTCCCGATGGCTTCAAATCCAGGCGGGGGACCGCAGAGTGCATCGCTTGACCGAGAATATGTCTTTGACCCCTTGGAGGTGCGCCACATATGCGCTGCACTTGAAGCAAAGAAATGGAGTGCAGTTCATTTGCGATGACATTGTTTCATAGAACAAGTGTTCAAGTGTTTCGTGGAATTCAAGACCCTGTCAACTGACCAGTTTTTCTTGGCATTGAGGCCACGCAAAACACACACACACACACACACACACACACACACACACGCGGTCACAAACAGCCAAAGACACAAATACACACAGACACCCAGACACACACGCCAAAACACACACACACACACACCCACGCACACACACACACACTTCAAACTGAATTAACTACACTTACACACCCCTAAGTGCGCATGTCGACGGGCAACCAGTCACTGGTAAGGTCGAGCTGAGTGCAACCCTGACACATCATGACACACTGGCTTGCCTGTACCTTCTATGGGCGTTATTTGCGTTGGCATGCGAAAACGAGAAGTAACTCAGTAGCTCACGTGTCCAACTGGACCTTTCGGCTTTTCCCCGTTGGTCCATGGTTGGTCATGGTCACAAATGGTTATTAAAAGCCGTTCCCCCAGTGAACATCCCAACCCCGACTAAACTAGACTAAAATGGGTGGTGAATTCACCTACCCCAATTGGTTTTGACCCATGGCCAAATGTTTAGTCAAGAGGTTAACTATACCATTTTTTGTGTTTTTGGGGCAAGGTCTACTCAGATTTCTTGACACAGCGCGCAAATTTGCGAACATGCGGAGGGCATGCCAGAGAGCGGAATGCACAAGGCCATAGGTCAGTTTGGTTGAACATCTGTGGGGGTGTCTTAACAGAAGACACCATATCTCTTTGGCTTCCCTTTAAAGCCGCTCCAAAAGGGCTACCATCTGAAACAGAGAAGCCCAGATGGCATTGGTTCTATGCTTGTTCTTATCATTTGCCGTCTATTTGTCAAGTGGACACTTAGATCTATGTCACGTTGCCTTCGTTGCTTCCTGAACTTTGCGGAGCAGGTATAGGAACCAGGGACAGGCATCCACTTGTGCATGTGCGCTTCCTCTTTGAGCCACCAGTACGTTTTGTTTCCCAAGTGGATATGGACAACTGGGTGGCCATGGCTTCCAGCAACATGTTCATGTTAGAGTGTTTGCATGCGTTTGCGTTCTTCGCATTGCGTGTTTGCCCATCCCATTGGTTTCCAAGAATCAGGTAACAGGGTTTGTCTTCTTTTCGGGGACCCCACACATTGGTTTCTTCTTTGGTTTCCCAATGAAAAACCAGCCACACATCTAGGTTGGTTGATTCCTTTTCCATTCTTTTCAACCGTCGTTCTTTTCGAAAGCCGATCGCTGTTTCCCCGTGGTTTTTGGCGGTTTCCTAAGGATTTTTTGGAAAGAATGGAATTGGAAGCTACTAGTACAAAGGGCACCAACTCCCAAAAAAAGAAGCCCAACTCACAGAGGTCCAATTGGGTCGATGCCAGTCCACTGGCCCGCTTCGCAGGATGTGGTGGCCGGAGTGCAGCAGATGCTTCACTACATCGAGGAGCTGAAAGTGACAAAAACTACGCCGAGCGTCTGACGCGCTTTTCTAGGGCTTGATTATTTTTTTCATTCTTTTCAACCATGGTTCTTGTCAACAACCAGCTATTTTCCCTGGGTTTCCGGAGGTTTTCCGGAGACTCCGTTTTGCAAATCGTTGAGTCCTACATGGCCATGGGGCACAACCTATGGCTCCATTTTGGGGTGGATGAACATCCATTTGCCACCTATTTTGATGTTCACCAGAAGTACAGGGTTTTGACCCACAGCCAAATGACAAGTCCCACAGCATGAAAGGGTTGGTTTTCCAGAAGGTGTGCTGGTGCTTGCTTGAGCCCCTGAACGTGCACCCCTCCAGAAATAGAGTCAAGGCATCTTGGCTGGCGCATTGGGCGTATCCTGCGCCGCAGGGTCGAGTTATCCCAAAAGAAATAATCACAGTAGTTGCTTGGTTGCTGACGAGCGCTGCGAGTCATTGAAGCATTCCCGTCGTCCAACTGAGTCTTTGCAGCGGGCGCCAATGGATTTTCTTTGGCCGACCACACTCGGGTCCCAGTTCAGTACTGCTATGGCATTCAAGCATTTTGTGCCAGAGTGCGATCGATCACAGTTTCACCCAACCTTTGCTTGCGAGAGCCCTGGACACCCAACGGTTTATAGACAAGTGGCTCTCCGCCAAGTGGTCAAGTCGCTGGACTTTTGAGGCGCTCTCCAGAAGCTGCATCCGTCTGAACTGGTTCGGCCGGATGTGGCCATGGGTCAAAAGCCCGTACCCCCAAGTGAACATCACCATCCCCACTAAAATAGGTTCCAAAACGTGTGGTGAATTCACCTACCCACCAAACTGGTTGATCAACCAAAAGGGTTGTGACAACCACAGCGTGAGGACAGCCACACCGCCTTGAGCTCACGTACAGGCATGGCTCATGGCAAAGCGCCCCTGGGACCCGGGAGCGAGGAGCTAAACCCCAAACACCAAGGACTGGGATGGAGGAAATGTGGCGCAGGGAAACCATGGCTTTGGCGCATCTCGCCAAGGGCTGCTAGGGCTGAGCCACTTTTTCGCCAATTTAAGGTTGGGTTTTCCCAACTAGACCACTGAAAGTTGAAGACTGCTAGCAGGGGAGCAGAACGCAACCTAGATTGGATTCCGAATTGGAAGTTACAGGATCTCGTCAGGACTTCCTCCCCAAAAGCCTCCCCTTTCCGGATGGAGCTATTGAGGTTCTTGCGTTTGGGTCAGGGTTTTGCGGGTGTGCTGTGGCATATGCTTGGGGCTCTGAGTACCCCCCTTCATGAAGGGAGGAGGATTACTTACACTTGCGCAGATACCCTAAATCATGCACACTACACCATGGAAACTCCAATCACCCCCCATCCAGCATAAAGGGACTCCGCAAATATGGTACCTGCGCAGACATACCCCAAAATTATCTTAAAGCAGGCCATTGGCACACATGGAACCTCTAGCAACCCAGTCAACAGCCTTTTCGCTAGGATTCCTCGTTTTGCACGCATGTCTCTGGAAAATTATTGGTTTCCAGACCTCCATGTGCCGGGAACACATTGGGGCAAACTAAAAACAGGTCAGTTCGCAAAATGGTGCTGTTTGGGTCCCTTAAAGGATACACTTGAGTCAGTCAAAAAGTCACCTCAAACAGGCCTGGCCAAGCAAGCTTTTTTTGGACGTGTCCTTCAACCCAGGGTGAGAGACTTTCACAGTCTGTGTGTGTGTTTTCTTTGTTCATGCTTTCAAAAGAAGAACACCTGTACATATCAACGGCGCAAACAAAAAACATTGTGCGTTGTGGAATTCCCCGAGACTACTGTGGCACCGCCTCATACCGCAACTGGTGTTTTCGCATATCGGTGCCAACATCACAAAACCATATCCCCGCACCCCGAGAAGCATTTTCCCAAGAAACAACCATATTATTATCCATTTAGCTCCTTTGCTCGTTGGTCTTGTCCTCCCCTGCTCATTTCCTATGGTGGTGATGGTGGTGATGATGGGTGTAAACGCTTCTCCAAGAACTGCAGGATCAAGCTCTAGTTGTTGAGCAGAAAAGGCAAGACGGACCAGAGTGGACTCGAGTTTCGTTTCCGCAAGGGCTTGTCTCAATATTGCAACGCCTCACCCATTGGGCAACTGGTCTCGAAGTCGGTGATTGCCCGCCAGGTGACGCAACTGCTCCTGTTGCTCCTCAGCCTGCTGATCCTGTTGCCCCTGCTCCTTTGGAGGCTGGGCACTTAGAATGCAAGCTACGAGCCAAGCTCACGGTTGATCCGATGATCAAAACCATGGCCAAACGCACAGGCTAGATGAACTACCAACGACCCATACATTCCTGGATGTGCTTGGCATTTGCTTGAAAGCACCTGCCTCCAACCTGGGTATTTGACATACAGTTTCAAGGGGTGCTTAAAAGAAAGCTGGAGTCGTTCCCTTTTCAACCGCTATTTTGCCCGGGGTAAGTGGGGCCGGCGGCCCGTGCCATCCTGTAGGTGCCTGAAGTGGCGGAGCCGGAGGTAGTGCCGGATCCTTGGTGCGGTCACCCCTTGGTTCTTCGTCGGACCAAGCAGCTGCTTAATTTGCTTTGGCGTACATGAGGATGTGATTTTTTCACCAACGGATTTACAGCTACATGCGCATACGTGGGGGTTTATCGAAAGGTCCTTCACATGGGATGACCATTGGGGAAAAGCACGAAACAGATGATATTTTCCACAGTGATGTCTAGTGCATGTCATAGCCAAGCCGTTGGATTTTGCATGAAGCTGGTATGCAAGTCCAAAGTTTTACACCAGACACGGCAGAGGGGGTAGTGCCAGGGGCCTTCCGTCATTGCTTGACGCCTGAAAGCAACTCAGGGACACTTTCTGAGTTGTTTTGGGGCGTGGGCCGCCTGAACGGTTGACCAGCGAATTCTGAGTTCAGAATCAATTCACATGCCAGCTGCCAAAGTGGTGTCCTTGGTCGTGTCGGGTTTGGTGGGGAAAACTGGAGATCCGTTTGACCAAGCAATCCGTTAGAAGACCCCTCGTTTGAATGAGGCGGGAAGTGCAGCAGGCGCGAGACGAGAAACTGGGAGAGCCGCGATTTCGAAGTAGATTTCTTCGCATCCACATGGAACTTAGTGGTAGGAAAATGGAATGGGGCCATGTTGGATGAGAATCATTAGGAAAAGGTGGCTTCATAGGTTTTTAGGACGCTTTGTCTCCATTGCTTGCCAGTGCACATGTGTGTGTGATTTATGCTCTCAATCTCCATGAGGATAAGAAGCGATAGCAAGAGGCCATGTGGAGTAAGATTCGTCCAAACATTCACCCAGTAGGGAATTCTTGTGAAGCATTTTGATTGAATCATTGAGTGATGTTGTTCGATCCCGAGTCAGGACAAGAAGTGGCTCCAATACAAATGCCCTGGAACAAACTGCCAGCTGCATCAGTTTGCATGCTGCAAACTTTAAATGAAGGGAGTGGCTGAAGAGCAGGGCCACAACTTTGCGATATACTTCGACTGATGGCTTGTTGGGGAAACATTGTGCATGAATGATGCGCGCTGGTGCTGAAACAGCCCATTCCGGGATGGATCCATATATAACTTCCTGTGTTTTTTCTCGGCTCTCACTTCGATCAAAGAGGGCAAGCACCTTTCTCTTGGTGGCTGCCTTTCTTGCACCAAGCCATTGAGCATTCATGCGGCATGCTCACAGCCCTCGACAAGAGCATGCGCTTACAAAATAACCCTGCAAATTGTCAATCGTTTCTCCACACGCTTTGTAAAAGGTTTGTCGTCCTGGCGTAGTTGGTGAAAACGTCTACCTGGAGTCTCCTTCTGACCCTTTAAAAAAGGTTGGTCATTACCCAAAATAAAGGGGTCATGGACCAATTGTTCAAGGGTCAGAAGGAGACTGCAGGTAGTAAAAGTTCAGCAAGGGCCTTGCGGTTGACCAACATCCCTAGGGCAGCAACAAGATGAGAGTAGCTGGCGCCTGAAGACCAAACATTGCATCAGGAAGAATCGAATAGCAAGGAGGTATACCTGGACCCTCAAACTACCCGTAGAAAAAGGGGAATTCACATCTTCTTCTTTTTTGGGGGGGGAGGCACTAACCTATTTTTAAAGGGAGTTTCAGGGTCCAGCATGCTCTTGCGGAGGGAGGGGCAACCATTTGCTCGACCAGCTGTTGACAGACAGTACACTGCGGCTTTGAGGAGACGAACCAGCAAGCCAATGCAGGCACACACAGAGACGTGCAAGAGATTCACAAAAGTTATGGACACCAAGATCAAGCAAGCAAGCAAGCAAGCAAGCAAGCAAGCAAGCAAGCAAGCAAGCAAGCAAGCAAGCAAGCAAGCAAGCAAGCAAGCAAGCAAGCAAGCAAGCAAGCAAGCAAAGCAAGCAAAGCAAGCAAAGCAAGCAAAGCAAGCCAGCAAGCAAGCAATCAACCAGCTAATCAGCCAACCCTGCGACAAACCATCCAAGCAACCAGCTAGCCAGCCAAAGACTGCATCACCAGCTTCCACCTCCCCCCCCACCACGCAGTTCTTCACCCTTTTTTAACCTCCCTCCCCCCAACCCCGACCCAGCACCCCTTCCCCCCCCAACCCCAACCCACCAACCATCCCCCCAAACCCAGCCTTCCCCCCCCCCTTTCCCGCATTTCTCAGGCGTTGCCAGCCCTTCCCCCCCCGGCCCCGGGGCATTTTTCAGGCGCCATGGGCACCTTAGCACAGACCCTGTTCCTCCGAAGCCGCCGCGTGCTGCTGGGCCGCTGGCGCTCCGGGCCCTTCGCGCACCGCGTCACCGGACTGCTCGGCTGCGCCCCAGGCGGATCCCGCCCCAAAATGGCGGGCCACGGCGGGTTTCCCCGGTGCTGGCCCTTGGTTTCATAGGAATCGGACCTCAGAATGATGGTTTTCCTGGAGGTTTCCTTGGTTTCATAGGAATCGGACCCCCCAGAAGGGTTCCTGGGGGTTTCCTTGGTTTCATAGGAATTGGACCCCAAAAGGATGGTGTTCCTGGGGGTTTCCTTGGTTTCATAGGAATCGGACCCGCCCAGAAGGATGGTGTTCCTGGCGGTTTCCCGGTTAAAACCACGGACAAGGGCAAAAAGAAGACAGACCCGCTTCCTAAGGTCCTGGGCTTGGTTTTTGTTTTGAGAATTTTACTGGCAGATAGTTTGGACTGTGTAGCCAATCCACTCAGGAAGTGAGTCTTTGAGTTGGTAACCCCCCTTTTTGGGCTTGGTTTGAAGGCACACCATGGCTCGAATTTCTATTGGGCTTGCCTGCTGGTTTCTTGAAAACATGAACAGGGTTCCGCCGCTTATCAGAGTCAGACCTATATAACGCTTACCGCGAAGTATCCCATGACCATGGCCTCTGACATTTGATCATGGCTAGAGGCGGTTCCTAGCTGGTGGTTTGAGGGTATTCACCTCAGTTTAAGGGAACACCAAAAGGACAAGAACTAGTGGGGTCCCCTGATTTTGACGCATTGCCAAATCGGAAAGCTTGTCCAGAAGCGGAAAGCCACTCCCTAACCGCCCAGCCACCAATCCCAACCGCCATACCTCCCCCCGCCGCACAACAGTGAAAATAGCCCGCCCCCAGGTACCCCCTAACTTACTGGTGCTGAGTAGGGAATGTGGGAATGAACCCAAGGATTCCCTTAAAGGAAACCACAAGAGCTGCTTTATAAGTTTAGAAGGGTCATTCCCTGATTTCCTGCTGAGCACAAGCTAAGGCAGGGACTCCAAACCCTTTTGGCGCTTCAGGCGCCTCTCGTCGCTCGCCAGGCCCGCCGGAAGTTGCGGCTGCGGCCATTTGCCACTCCCTGGGGGCCAAGGCCGAGATCTCGCGGCTGCGGCGGAGGGGAAGATTCACCTTCCAGGCGCGGGGTCAAGGGATCCAGCTGGGTGGATCCACGGATCCAGACACCTGGCTCGGTTTTTTTCTTGAGGGTAGCCTTTGGTGGCATGGAAAGGGAAACCAAAAGGAAGCCGTTGCCAGTTTGGGGGGCTCCGGATTCCTATTTTCAGACACGCTGGTAGGTAGGTCGGGTTTAACCACTTGTAGCGTTTGATCTATCCCAGGTGTACGAGTTTCAGGATCCTAGGCAAAACACACAACTTTGAGGCTGGAGATGTAAACCGAAGACAGAGGTAAGGAGCAAATGTGTTTGTACTTGTTATTTGTTTGTTTGCTTGCTTGCGTGTTTGCGTGTTTGCTTGTTTGTTTGTTCTTGTTGTTTGTTTGTTTCACTCTCTTTCTCTCTCTGTCTCTCTCTCTTTGTCTCTCTCTGTCTCCATGTTTGTCTGTGTATGTTTTGGTGACTCTACCTTCCACCCTTCCAAGGTCTAGGCGGTTTTGGAGCTCAGCATGGGTCTGGCCGCACGGAAGACTCGGCACTGACGCCATCCAAGTGCGCAAAGTATAACAGGTTTCCTTTCTGTGAGCCATTGAGATCAATAGGGTATGGAGTCAAAACCAAACCAGAGGACCGCAGGTTGAGTCAATGTGTCAGTTTGCCGGGGTTCCATTTTGTGGTTACCCGATTTCTTGACCCACAGCTAGAATAGAGAACCCGTGCTCAGGCAAAATCTAAACTTCTTACCATGCCATTATAGCATGGCCTTTCCAAACAGCTTCGAGTCCAAACCCTGGCGCAGCGGTCACCAGGTGTTTCGTGTGGCCATGGCCCGGCCCCTCCAAAACAAACCAATAGCCGATCAAAACCTAACAAAAAGCACGGAGAAGCGTGAGAAACAACGAGAAACAACCTAAAAAAGCCTCGGTGGCCAGCCCTCCCCATGGTCCTTTCCATTTCTCCCACCAAAAGTTGTGGTCCACGTTCAGATCCGGGGGATGGGAGCTGGCCCCTCCATCCATCCAGGAGCTCGATGAAGCGCACCCTGCCGCACAGCAGCTGGGCAACGCCTACACGGAGCATCAGCTCCTGTACCGCGCCTCGGCGCCAGTTTTTTTTCTTTTCACGGGGGAAAAAAGAGCGGCGCCTGGGTCGTTCTTCGCCGATTTTTTTTTGGGTCGGTGGAAGTCTTCTTTCTTTTTCTTCTGGGAGTTGGACCAGTTCCCCAAAATCCCCGGAATTGTGGATTGCGTTCCTTTTGGTTTCGATTTGAACCAGCCTGCAAAGGGTACAAGGAAGAAGCAGATATCCAGTTGCAATTGTCCGGTGTGGGATGTATGAACTGATGGAGCAACAGCGGGTTCAAAGGTCTGCTCGTGCTGAAGACGATTCTTGGCTGTGGTGTTTCCCCGAAACGCTGGGAACTCATGCCATTTCCGGGTGCAACACCGTTCCAGCGAGTCTTCGTTTTGTGGATTCCAGGTTCATTTGGACAGTACCCTTGCTGTCCATGCGCGCCTTGAAGGAAATTTCATTTGGCCTAAGGAGTAGCTGAAGATGAAGACTTCAAAGCTGTGGACACGCCGGACTTTGAGATTCTAGGATGGTTCGGGCGAGGCGCGCAGAACGTCGTTGCAGCTGCGGGCAGACTCTGACGAGCCTAAAGTTGGAGCTCTGGCAAGCTGAGCACCGTACAAACACTTGAGACGTTCATTTGCAGAGCATTGAGGAACTCCTTAGCAGAACAAGTGTGGGCCTGACCGTAAAGACATCTGCAACTTGCGCTTTCAACGTGTTAGGCATGGTATAGATTTGCTTGTGCAGCTGTTTGGCCTGGTCATTTCAACGCGGCCGCCGCTGGTTGCTTCTGAAGGGGGTTTTCCGGCAGGCTCCGTAATTCAGCGGCCAAGAAGGGCTAGCATGTGTGGGGTCTTGCTAGGGGAGATTCCCTTCGACGAGATGCCGGAGGACGACAGGCACTGGTATGATCAGATCTTGTTCGAGGACCAGCGTCTCCGAGGGCATTTCACTTTTCAAGGCCGGGACTAGGCTGTGTCTTTGAAGGCTTGGAGACCTAACGGTGACAAACATCAAAATTGGAGTCTTGACTTGGAAGTTATGGCTTCCTGCTAAGTCGATCACTGAGTGATGGTCACAATTGATCTCCACATGGAAACTGGTGACCACATTTGGAAGACTGGAAGAGGGCGGTGTTGTTTTTCTGCCACCCCCCCCCCCCGTCTTCCCGGCAGGTACTTGCGCAAGGAAGGCTTGAGTTTAGCTGCATAGATCCAGTTACCATAGTAGGTGAAAGACATTATATTTGTTGAGTCACTTGCGAGAAGCATCACAGTGCTCGTTCTCCACCCTGCTGACCCTAGCGGCGAATTAGGATGCACTAGCCCAGATTTCTCTGCTGCAAGCAGAGACGTCTGGCCTAGTGATTTTGGGGTTGGGCTGCTTGCTGTTTAGGCGGTGGCCCCACTTACACATTGCACGATATATGGTATTTTGCAAGTTAGGAGGTCTCCTTTGACCTTTTCGGTTTTTCTGGTCCTTTTTTCTATGCACCAGGCTCTAAGAAGCTCAGGTGAGCTGGTGGATGGTTGTCAACACTTGCCAGTCTCACGTGCCCGTGGCCCGTGGACAAATTTCCATTCCGGCAAGTCGCACTGATTATGGATTCCGTTTGTATCAGATCCAGACCTTTTTGGGAGCACCGGGATCCAAAAACGGAATATTTTCGGGGGGCTGCGGCTTGGGTGTGAGCACCAGGCTTTGCACCGGCTTGTCTCGGCCTGCTGCAGGCACCTCATTGGTGGCTCACGAGTTGGAGGAGGTGTCAGCCGCTGAAGGCCAGGTACAGCTGAGAAATGGGACCAGGGGCTGGGCGAACCCGTCACTTGTTGTTCAGGGGGGCCATTTCTATCGTGGAATCCTGTCTTCCAGGGGCACCCTCCGATTTTCTCGCGCTAAAAAGAAAACAATCAGCCCAGGAAGCCGATGCGTGTTGAAGCATCGGCTTCGCGGTCCCTGTGGTCAGAAAACCTGCATCAGAATTTGCAGTGTCAGTCAGGTAGTGTCAGCCAAGTTTTTCAACTTGTTTTTGAGGAGGGTTCCCCTACTAAACTACACTACCGAAAAAAGTTGGTACCCCAATTCTACCCTCTCTACCAGGAGGACCTGGTCATATTGCGTCCTTAGGGTAAGTTTCCAGCCACTGCCAAACCCGATGTTTCAGGTTTTTCCAACCACATGTTGCAAAAAAGGTGCATACTTCGGGTAAGTTTTTCCAGTCAACACACCAAGCAAGCCACATGCCCTCCGCCCGACGCGTCCGCCTCAGGCCTCTGCGAGGTTTTGGGCTCGGATGCCTCGGTGTTGCTGCACAACGCCCAGTGCTCCAAGAGCCGGGCCCTGCAGGAGGCCGGTCCGAGCCGGGGGGCATGGTCTCAAGAGCCTGGAGTCTCCTTCTGAGAACCTTTAGAGCCTCAACAAGAAGCCCAAATGTGGTTTGACTACCTGTCTCCATGTTTCTTTTGGCCAAGTTCCGGGTACAACTTCCTGCTGAATTTCGATAGACATACTTCTATACTTCTGGCGCGTGGCAGCAACAGAGTTTTGAGAGCTGAGACCTCGGCATCGTGGCCCCCTGGTTCCTTGCGGCCAGGCGTTGGTGTCTGCAGGCCACAACTTTACTGAGCGGAGGTACTTGGAGGCGGGGATTAGGGATTTGTTTGGGGGAAATGAGGGGCGCTGAATTGACCAGGGAAAGGAGTTTGGGTTGTTTTGGTTGTTGTTTGTGTTGCTTATGCCTACGTCTCTCAAAGAACTCGTGTCATCCATAGTGCTTCTTTGGGAATGAAACGCATGGCACGGCGCAGTTCGGGCCCAACACAACAGGCAATTGACCAGAGCACAACCCCGCACCCAGCGTGTGCACCAGCCGGTGCGCTGATGCCGGAAGCAAAACAAATGGCCATGGGTCAAAACCCCCTACCCCCAGTGAACATCCCAATCCCCACTAAAATAGGTCCTAAAATGGGTGGTGCACCTATCCCAAAATGGTACCATTGGTTTGACCCACAGCCAAATGCGATAGCGGCCAAAAGACGGAGGTTTTGCTAGTGTCCCGTCGGCATAGCGACAAGTACCTTGACGGCTTAGGTTCCGAAGGAAGGTTTCTGGAAGGAAGATGTGCCTTGTTAAGGATCTTCTGTCAGAACTGCACATTGTTCAACAAAGAGATTGAACAGCATTGGCTGTGGTTTTTCAAGACGCTTCTGTGGGGCGCTGATGGGAATCCTGCTTGTGCCCCTTCTGAAACCTGAGTGTCAAAAGCGCGCGGAAACTTGGGTCGACAGCTTGTGAGTTTGGAGTTGGATTTGAGTGAGAAGAGAGACTAGGTCCCCCAGTAGTGCCATTTTACCCTTTTTTGGGGGAGGGTTCCCCTACTAAAATAGACTACAGAAAGAAAGGGTACCCTTATTCTAACCTCTCTACTGGAGGACCTAGGAGAGGTTCTCAAAATGTTGAACTTGCTTCGTTGGCGTTTAAGCGGAAGCCAAACGGCATCAATTCGCGATGTTCAGGGGACCCCTGAACGACCCAAATGTCTGCAGGAGCCTTTGACCCTGAGCGAGCTGGAGGTGATTTTTGCTCGGCTGAAGGCCAGCTGTGGACTTTTCCGCCTTACACTCATGGAACCATGTCAAATTCGCGCACCCATGATAAAATAATACGGTTTGGACTCCGGAAGCCCGGAGCTTGCTGTTGGAAGTGGATAGGAGGATTTTGGAACATGTCCATCCGCTTGAAAAGGCCCCTTGTCCACTTCCGTGATTGTGGGAAGGGCCGTTTCTTGGAGGTTTGATGTGGGAGCTTGTAGAACACGCCTGGATGCAGCTTCTGCTGTCTTTTTTTGTTGGAGTCTGACCCCCCAAATGGGTGCAACAAATGGGACTACAAAAATAGACGAGCCGCGCATATGGCATCTCTTACCTACCCATCCCAGTGAAGCACACGGCAAGCCGCTAGAGTAGGCAACCGCTGAAAGACCCAGTGCAATCAAAAGCAACAAATTCAGATCTGTAGTAGGTAACATTTGGGCGTGTCTCTTTTTGAGGGAACCCCTTTTTGGTTGGTTTTAAAGAGAAACAAAAGCACGCCTATGTGGGGGGGGTGCCATATGTTAAGACACACCCATTTCCCGTGGCAGAGTCAGATGTCTCGCTCCTACAGCCATAGAGATGTGATCCTTGCGTGAGCAGATCGAAGGATTGCACTTCAGATCGCAGTGTGATAGCCTTGTTTGCCATGCACATTCGGTTGCGAGAGCCAGAAGCTTCGCCCAACATCTTCGCCCAACACTGGAAGTAGACTAGAGACGCACTGCAGGCTATGTCTTCACTCGGGCACCCTTGTTTGGGTCTGGTCTGAAGCTTGCATGAAACCAAGTTGGCGAGACAGCCGACATGAGACTTGAACGGTCTTCGCCCCGCGAGGCTGCTGATGCATCCTTGGATCCCCGTGCCTGGGTTGCAGGGCTCACGGGCAGGATCATGATGAGCCAGCTTCCGAAGAGTCTTTGGTGACCCTGTCCGACTCCTTTGTAAGCCCAGGCACAACAATGGGGTCTGTCGATCACGTTGCCTGCGCGGGCTTTTGCTTCCCAATCAACAACCCATGGAATGGAGTGCGTGGCATTGAAACGCCGACTGAGGTGCTCTGTGCCGTTCAGAGGTGGGCCGAATGGGTAAGATGCATGCTTCCAGCCTGTTGACAACTGAGAAACTGACTCCCCCTTGAGTTTCAGTGAAGGCCTTGGTGACCATGATGACCTAGTGATGAGCCTTAGATACTAAGTACTCTCCAGGGTGCTAGTGTCAATCATCCGGTCCGGCAGAACCTTGGGCAACGAATTGTGCGGTGTGTAAGCCTTGCTTTCAATGAAACTGCGCAAGCCGCAGCCAGAATCCTTCTTTTGAGCTGCCAAGTGGTTGACCTGGGGCTCCAAGCACCACCCCTATCCAAGGGGAAATTTGGAAGGTAGCCCTCATACAGTCCAAGGGGACATTTGCAAGGTACCTTTTTAAAGTGGCCAGTGGTTAGAGGATAGTGAGCACCCTCTTAGATCGGCCTATTTTGCCGTTTTACTCCAGCCTATGTGAGCAACAGCTCGGTTTGGCTCCCTGCAGGTTGATGGGGAAGTTCTGGAGGCGGGAGATTTGGGGCTCGTTGGCTCCCATTTTGGTCGGCGGGAACCCCATTTGCAAACCACGCGGTTTGCCTCGGGACCCCATTTGAACCCGAGTTGATCTGGATTGTTGGGGCTCGCCACTTCTCAAACCCCCCCTTTTGAGTTGTCATTTGGGCGCACCGCATTGACCCCATTTCATTTGGGCGCCTTTTGGCGAAGCTCTCATGGTTCCGTGTGAATCCATCGCTTCTGGTGACCTGCAAACTTGCTTGAGCCAGATGCCACGGCTAAGGTTTCCAGTTGCTTGATGCTTCGCTGGGGTCAGTCGGTTGGCCAAGTCCAAAGTGGCTATGCCCAGTGCCATTTCCCCGGGTTTTTGGAGGGTCACCAAGGGAACCCTTCAAAAGCCAAAAGGAACGTGGCGAAGGGTTTCCAACTACTAGTGGTAACTTGGGATGTTGGAGGTTTTTTCAGCAACAACACCTCTCTTTTTTTTCTTCTTTTTTTTTTTTCCGGGACTGTTCAGACCTCCCTGGCAATGTTGTGCTCGTGTCTTCTTGTTTCGGCGCGCACTCGCCAGATGGGTGGCACACCCTTTTTTTTCGAAGCGAAGGCCATGTGTTTGTGGCTTTCAAAGGGAAACCCCAACCGTCCTGATTTGTGTATGGTTCATGAGGGAGGGACATAGACCCACCAAACTTCCGAGCCATGCCGGGCTCGCAAAGTTTCCCATGTTTTTCGGTACCTTTCCTGGGTGGTGGGGGGGGGGGGTGGGGGGCGGGGGCCTTTGTTGTGTCCCAGGGAAACATTCGCCTGCAGTCTCCATAACCCTTAAAAAATGCTGTCACAACGCCCGGAGAGTGGGTAGATGACCCCCATTTTGTAAGTGTGAAGGGAAGAGGCGAAGGCTGCAAAATATCTCAATGTTGGGGGTCCCCTAAAATGTACCTGGAGTCTCCTTCTGACCCTTCAAAAATGGGTCCATGACCCCATTATCGTGGGTTATGACCCCATTTTTAACGGGTCATGGAGACTCCAGGTACATCTTAAGGGACACCCAAAAAATGGCTTTTTGGCCTTCTGGTGGGCGCGTTCGGAGAAAAATACGTCCAACCATCGAATGGACGGCCAGCGGCGATCCGTGCCGAATTTCGGAGGCCATTGCGCAGAAGCCGGAGCTGCTGCAACGACCAGCCGAGATCTCAAAACCAAAGACTTGAAGCATCACCTTTTGGGGTGCTGTGAGAACACAAAGCTCACCCCACGGGCACCGGTGCGTGTGGTTTCCCTTTCAACAGTGGTATAAGTCTCTGAGTTCCGAGTTGACCCCCTGCGGTTCAAGCCACCATTAACACCATGGTTGGGATTATATATCACCGTTATTGACCCGTTCGGATTCTCATTCTCTAAATTGGTTCCCGTTATGGCCATTGCTTTAACGGGGCCAAGTGGGGAATTTCCGGGTGACAGACTGGAGACTCTTTGGTTTTCGTGGCCCGGTGAGGCTTCGATCGGATGCAGCGGGATTCAGGGCGAAATGGCCCAGCATGGCACCAAAAAAAACAAGTGGCAGTTCAATAGTTTCCAGAACCGCATGCATGTTTTTTTTGTTGAGGGAACTTACATGGCGATGCATGTCACTAGGGAAGCCCAAGTGGAATGAGTCGGAACCCTTGAGTCATTGATGTCCACTAAAGGGTCCCATGCACAGGCAAGACGGTAGCTGACCAAAAACCCAAGGCGAGACATTGGATTCAACGGTTTCTTTGGCTCACGGCTTACTGGCTAGTGTTGGTTTTGTTTTCTCAGATAAGCTGTGTCTTTTTTTTTGTGTGTGTGTGTGTGCATGTTTTCCTCTTCAGTGCGCTGACACTTCCTGCACAGATTATGTCATCAAATGCAAATGGTTGATGCATTCAGGATCACTTCTTGGGCAACATGATTGGCAAGCACGATCCATTTGTTCTCATTGGTTGTTTCACGCAGAGCGCACTTTGTACCTTCTGAGGAGGCCCAACAGCCATCCTCAGGTACCAAGGCATCCCAGTCAGCAGCTCTTGTTCGCTGCTTTCCCAAAGGTGCTGGTGCAGGGCCTGCGAGCAGCTTTGGGCGCCTTGGTCAGTATATGTTGAGGCCTTCAATGTCCGCCAGCGAGCAAATCGACCATGGCCAGATTGAGCATGGGGTTTCAGGGATTGCTTCTGAAACGCAGAAACTGGGGTTTGCCAGGATGTTCATTCGATCCACTTTTGTTCTTTTGGAGTTTGGCGAAGACTGCTGAAGCCACGACTAAGCTTTGGTGCTTCGGGTCTGCGAAGCTTGTACCAAGCTTACAGAGCATCTCTCTCTGCCACTCATTCGCTTTGCGCTGTTTTATAGTAGGCTTTCTTCAACTCAACAAGGGCACATGTGTCAAGTCATGCTTGCATGCCGTTTCGGCGATTGCGGCTTGAGCATTGATCGTACGGCGGTCGTACAATTGATTCGATCTTGTAGAGCTAGAGGGGTTGTTGGAATACCCTCCCACCAATTCACATGAACACCTGACAGGGAAATGGTCCCTTTAAAAGGAACATGGTCCAAACCAGGACCTGCCGAAACGTCAGGCAGGTTCCATGTGAACAGCTGGGGCCCCGGGGGGTGTCTGATCTGGCGTCTCGGGCTTCAGGGCGCCCTACGCCCGCAGATGCGCTGCGCCTGCTGCAGATGTAGACGCGGGGGTCTGAAGCGACTTGGCCGATTTGTGTGTTTGTCTTTTCTCCAAGGGGGGGAACTCCAGCTTCCCTCAGAAAGCAATAATCCGACACGGGCAGTTTCTCTTTAGTTGACTAACAACAACTTGACTTGAAATTCATGGTTTCCAGTTCGATTGAAAGTTCGAGAATCGGAAGCGGGCTCCATCAAAGACACCCAACTCAGAGGGGGAACCAATCTAGTCAGTTTGTGGATTGTCCAAGTCTCGTTAGGCTTTCAGACGAGGTATTTGTGTTGACACTGTGACATCATTGACAGTATGATGTTGTGATGACATGCACCTGATATCATGTTGGCAGTCGTGGTTTGATTGCAGAATATGATTTGTCCTGCTCCGAAAGTGTGCCTCAGGCTTGCAGTATGGAAAAAGACGCCGAGTTGCTGCTGCAGCCCGCGGGAAGAATCGCCGGAAGTGTCAAGGTCGAATAACGTGGTATATATGGTTCATTGCTAAACCAATTATCCAGACCCTACCATTTAACTGGTCGGGCGTAGCTCTGGGAGGGGGCGAGTGGGGGATTCATGGCATGAGAGGCCAACGTTGCTGGGGTATCGGTGTTTGGTGGGTGCAGTGAACCATGTCCGGTCTTGCAGGTCGGCAGGTATGAGTGTTGGGTAGGCGCCTGTCGTTTTCTGGTGGTATGTTGGTTACTCAAATGCCCAGTGTGGGGGTTCCCCTTGGGCAGAGATCCACGACGTGTTGCTGCAGGGCTTCTTCTAGATTCGTTATGATCATATAGATGTGTATTTCGCATGTGCCGCCCAATGTGATTAAGTTGTGAGAGCCAACAATATACATATGGGTTTGTCCTTTTTTGGTGTGTTGAGTTGCTTCAAAAGGCAGAAGGTGGGACCTCCCCGAATCATACCCCCGAATCATACCCCGAATCATACCCCCGAATCATACCCCTTAAAACGTATGCTGCAAGATGCTACTGTTCTTCTACCGTTTTGTTGTTCACTGTCTCCACAACAACCACCACCAGCGCTACCCAATACTACCACTGCCACTGCCACTACTACTACAACAACAGCAACTACTACTACTACTACTACTACTACTACTACAATTACTACTACTACTACTGCTACTACCACTACTACTACTACTACTACTACTACTACTACTACTACTACTACTACTACTGCTACTACCGCGACTACGAGTATTACTACCACTACCACCGCTACTACCGCGCTACTACTACTCTACTGCTTCTACTTCTGCTTCTGCTACCCTTACTACTAACTACTACGACTACAACCTTGACTACTACTACTACTACTACTACTACTACTACTGCTACTACGACTACTACCTTTATTACTACTACTACGACTACAACCTTGACTACTACTACTACTACTACTACTACTACTACTACTACTACTACTACTACTACTACTACTAGTACTAGTACTACTACTACTACTACTAGTACTAGTACTACTACTACTACTACTATTCCTGCTTCTGCTGCGGCTGCTACTACTCACTACTACCACATACATCATTCTGAGTCTGTAATCAGTGCCGTTTTGCACTAGCCGAATCATACCCGCGAATCATACCCGAATCATACCCGGACAATGAGCTTCCCCTGCCAAGGCTAGTGCTAAGTCTTTCCACAGCATCCGCACCACTACAGCCGCTGCTGCTTATGCTACAGCTGCTACCACTACTTCTGCAACTGCTACTACTACTACTACCACTACTACTGCTACTACTACTCCTTCTACTACTACCACAGCTACTACGAGTTTGTAATTAGTGCTGTTTTGAATCTAGCCGAATCATACCCGCGAATCATGCCCGAATCATACCCGCGCAATGAACTTGCCTTGCCAAGGCCAGCGCCAAGTCTTTTCAAAGCTTCCGCACCACTACAGTCGCTGCTTCTACTGTTACTACTACTACTACTACTACTACTACTACTACTACTACTACTACTACGACTACTAGCACTACTACTACTACCAGTATTACTACTACTACAACTACTAGGCCTACTGCTACTACTATTTACTACTACTTCTACTACTGCTACTACTACTACTACAACAACAACTACTACTACTACTAACTACTACTACTACTACTACTACTACTGCTACTGCTACTGCTATTGTTACTACTACAATACTACTACTAGTACTACTACTTCGGCGACTACTGCTACTACTACTACTACTGCTGCTGCTGCTGCTTCCGAGAATCATACCCCCGAATCATACCCCGAATCATACCCGCGAATCATACCTGCGAATCATACCCCGTACTCAAACCTTCCTGCCCGGCCACCCTAAAAAAATACAAACCCATATATATATATAGTTTGCATATGTGTGTTTGTATGTGCATGTGTGTAAGGAATTACGGCAACCCACTGCCAGGTGCCCTCTCCGTGGTGCTGGCCACGATTGTTTCTGGCAGCGTCAGTGGTCGGCAAACAGCAGTTCTTGCTGCAGATGTCAACCATGGGTGGCCCACGGTTGTATGGCCCTTTGAAGAATCTCCCAGCCCCGCGCTTGTTCTTGCTCTGAGGGTGAAGTTCAACAACCTAAGAATTTGACAAGCATTCTGATGCGCCATGAACTATTTCAGATGTAACATATCGATGCTTTTTGGGATCCTTATGTTCAAACTCTGTGAAAGCGGGTGGAACGAGTGGGTGGACCATCCCCAAAGAAACAGTTTCTATCTTTTTGGTCCCGGGTGAATGAGAGCCCAGACAAGTCATAAACCCCTAGGGGATGAGTCCTGGGGTCTCCTCCAAAAACTACATTATCTTTGTTTCTTTCTTTCTTTCTTTCTTTCTCGCTAATATTTTTTCAGCTTCACTACCTGGACATCATTCGTTACATAAACTTGTGTCCCTTGGGTGTGTCCCTTCGTTACACAAATTTATGTAACAATGGAAGGTCCAGGTAGATATGAGACAACGAAGAAGATCTGATCTTCGAGCCATTTTCGCGGGCCAGGGAACCGGTCCAGGAGCGACGGACAGAGCCGGCACCACAGGCGCCCGGAGGATGTCCAAAATGGGTGGCTCGTTTTGTTTGTTTATTTTGGTTTAAGGGGTACCCTTTGGGTGGTTTTAAAGGGAGACCGAAAGGAAGACCCAATCTTGTTGGACGTTCCGATGTCTGACAAGAAGATAAGATGTCCCTCTTTCCGTGAGATTCTTCTTTGAGGGAACCCCTTTTTGTGGGTTATTGCAAAGGGGATCCGAAAGGAAACTACTTCTTGTGGGCTTCCGCGGCCAGCGAGTTCGAGCGCGCTTAACTTCAGACCCTAGGCCCCCAATCTTGCTGCTCAACAGGGATCGAAGGAATGACCCCCGAACTGCACCAGTAGTTTCTTTTAGTGGAACCCCTGGGCTCATTCCCAGGACCCATTTCGATTCCCTGAGAACCAGCAAAAGCAGCCACAAAAGCAGCCACACCATGTTATGGCCGTCGGGGAGCCGTTGCTGGGTCCGGTCTCCTGTTTAGCCTGTTTGACACTTTCACGTAATGATTTCTTTAGCCCGATTTCCCACGATGGGAAATTGTTCTTGAGTTTCCTAATTTCAAGAAGCATTCATGTGTACCTTGTTTTGGTGTCTTTAGCGCCTCATGTTTGGTGCCCATTGTTAACTGAGACACTTTGCTAGGTGTGATGAACGAGAACAAACCAGCAACCCCCTTAGAGTTGGAGGCGTTTGGTTTGTAGATGCGCAGGTCGCTGCGCGTCTCTGCAAGGTGGAAATCTTGGCTTGGCCTCTTCGGTGATTCCAACGGACTCCCCTTACGACAGAGTACAGGGCTGGGAATCACCCACTTTGGTATCACAGAAAGGGTTGCCATCCATTAAAAGAAAACAGCCTTGGGATATACAACAAAAAAAGCCATGGTATAGAGGGTCACAACACTACCTGGAGTCTCCATGACCCTTTAAAAATGGGTCCATGACCCCATTATTCTGGGTAATGACCAACCATGTATTTTTTAAGGGTCAGAGGGAGACTCCAGGTAGTTACCAAACAATGGTTTATACTACCCCAGTTTGCCCTTCGTGCGGGGGTTGCGGAAGCCAACGTCTGCAAGCGGACCGATTCTCGCGGTTTTTTGCAGGTCGCGGAGGTCGCCAACTGGCAACCCTTCGCACAGGCCGAGAAGGTGCGGGCGGGCTGTTTCAGGGCGATGGTTTGTCCCAAACTTTTCCCACCTAAATTCCCTCATTTGGTGAAGAATATTAGTTCATGTGTCCTGTTGGTTTAAAGGGAATCTGTCATTACCTGGAATGCTTTTGTTTTTCCAGGGTCTCAAGCAAATGGAAAAAAGGGCTTTTCAAATATGGAGCCACCAAAGTGGCCCTGTTGGCTTCTCTTTAAAACCAACCACAAAGAGCACCCCAAAAGAAAACAGTCATGGTCAGAACCCAGAAAATACAGAATGGGTCGCAAAGGAAGGGAACCTATTCCCTTTATTGTTCGCAAAAAAACGTTCAACAACCTCCCCCCCAGGCCAGACCGCCAGACCAAACCAGTAAAAACATCATCCACATGCTGTTTACCCGGTGCACACCACACCCCCAAGGCAGGCAACCCCCAAAAACAGACGCGCCCTCCCCAAAAAATGGCCAGGTGTGTCATGCCTACACCTGGCGCCGGCGCCGTCTCAGCATGCTGCAGGCTGCACAGGCCGCCGGGGGTTCGCGAGACGGATCCACCATACTCAGCTCTGTTGCCCAGTGGTGCCCATGGTACAAGTTAACGGACTTGTTCTAAGCCCATCCATTCAGGAAGTGAGTACCTGGAGTCTCCTCCTTCTGACCCGAATCAAAAATGGGTCCATGACCAAGCATTATGTTGGGTTATGCCCAACCATTTTTAAAGGGTCAGAGGGAGACTCCAGGTAGACATTTTTGTTCTGAGGCAATCGCAGAGAAACCCCAAGCAACACCCGGCACCGAGCCTGTGAGCCCTTGAATCGCTCAGGCCTCAGCCGACACTGCGGAGCGGTGAAGGCGGGAATTGCACCGCTCACTGAGCTCAGCTGTGTGTGTGTGTGTGTGTTTCTTTCATGAAGAACGCCGGGCAAGGAACTTTGCACTTCAAAGCTCGGTCTTTGGCCATCGAAGGTCAACTGGCCGTGGGTCAAAAATAGGTACCCAGTATGGAACCCTGGTAAATGGAGAAGTAGACTAAAACCTGCGGTCCCCTGGCGGATTACTTCTGACCCATGCCCGACTCGTTCCGAAGATCCCTCGGTTTCCCTTCGCCGCGTTCCGATCTCGCGCCTCAAGAGATCCGTGGATGGGCCCTGCTGCTCCAGAGCTTAGAGACGTGTTCTGTGGAGACTTTCTTTGGGGGGGTTCTTTGTAAGCATAGGCGTCCCTTTTGGTGGTTTTGGCAAAAGAAGAGAGGGCGATTCCTGGTTTACCGGGTGGTTTACTCATCTACCAGGGCCATCTATTTCCCGCAAAAGGACACCTATGTCTGTAAGTTCGTACAAGAACCATGTCACTCGCATAAAGAGCTTCGGCTTTGTATAAAGAGCCTACCAAAACAGAGGGTGCTCTGCTTTTGTTCCCCATGGCCACTGGGGGTTGGTTCCCTTGAGAACCCACTTGGGTTCTCGCGGGTCAGGTGCCAGGTGCCCGATCAAGGGAGGCTTGGGGAGCGAAGCATGCCGAGCGGTTTCCCTCGCAGATCCCTAGCTTGTGGGTCCCTGGCTTCAGATACATCGCCGCTTGCTCATGGCTTGTGGCTTCAGCATTTGCCACGAGAGCCCAGAGCCCAGCATCGACACCATGGGGCACCACCATGGGGTAAGCACAGCATTGCCATGGGGTGAGCCGTCGGCTTCTTGCCAGTCAACGTTGCACCTCTATCTTGAGGACAGCATTGCTATGGGCGAGCCGATGGTCTTTTTTCTCCAGGCAGCCTTGTTTCAACCCTAGTCAGTCTCATGCCATTTGGCCATGGGTCAAAAGCCAAATCGTACGCCCAGTGAACATCCAACAATCCAACCACTAAAATAGGTTCTAGAGTGGGTGGTGAATTCACCTACCAACCAAAATGGGATCCCAAAACGGGTTTTCACCACCAGCCATTTCTTTGTATTCAGACCTGTATTTGCGGTGTCCTGATGGGTGGCCAAGTCCTTCAGAGCGGACGCGCCTCGACTGAGGATATATTCGAAAGAACTCTGCAGCTGGCGTTGGTTTTGTGTAAGGCTACGCTTTGTTGGTGGGTTTGAAGGGCAACCATTACTGACACCACCAGTTGTGTTCCTATGTTGACACATATATATATATATATTACACTTCGTATTTGACGATGTTGATTTCTGATAGTCTGTTTGTTTGGGGAGGACATGAGGGTGCAAATGTTGGGCTTCCCCTTATCAGGGGCCCACCCAAAAAGCCGAGCGGCAGTTGGCTTTCTCTCTCGGAGGTGGGCTGCAGGGGAGGTCCTCCTTGCAGGGAGCTGGCATTTCAGAGAAGCGGTTTCTCACCCGCTGGAGACAGAGGAACAAGATACTTCCGTACATGCGCATGCCGGCTATGGAGGCTCGCTGGTGTACAACCTCAACAAGGAGAAGTTTGAAGCACCAACACCGACAAGGACTTCATAGTCCACTTGCTGGATGATCGCACGATCACGCCATCACGCCACGGCGCAGAGACGGATCAAGGATCGAGATCAAGGTTGACAGCGCGCGTGAGCTACATGGGCACCCCAAGAGATATTTTAACACCGAGGGGTTCGACGTCGCGGTTCCTGCTGCCGAACATTGCACTTACGGACCGCCGGGGGGGGGGGTCACTATGCATAGGCCCAGGCTGAAGAGAGTCACACTAAACAGCCATGTGCTTGGTAATGATGCCTAAGGCCCCCCCCCCCTCCTGCCCAGGATGGAACTACTTCTAAAATTTAATCAAATAGAATTCAGCTTACATCATCTATTCTTTACTAATGCATATGGAATCATCTTATTTAGTCTTTCTCTTTTGTTTGTCATATCCACCTCGGTTCCCATGCAACGCCCTCAGGTTGATATCCGCTGCGTGGTTGATGGCCTCTTGGCAGGAAGTTCTGACGTCTTGCGGCCTTGGTGCTGTCATGTTTGGGGTTCCCCGTGTTTGTTTTAACAGGGCCTCCCTACAATGAATGGTTGGTTCGTTTTGTTTTCCCTTCCAAAACAACAACAAAACAGTACCCTCAAACGAGCCGGTGGAGTCTCCTTCTGACCCTTGAAAAATGGGTGGGTCCATGACCCAAAATAATGGTTGGATGAAAGTGGATCCTGCAATGGTGGACCAAGGGGATGCTTGTTGGGAAACAATTTTCATTTTTGTTTCTTGTGGTTTAGTGGTTGAAATCCAACCACTTAACTGCTAAAACTCAAGTTTTTGCTCCCCTTCCAACGTCAGCCAAGTTCTGCGGGTTTTGAACATCAGCGTTTGGGTTTCTTGTTGTGTTAAACATCGCCTTCCTCACGCAGTTCCCGATTTGAGGCCCGGTGATAGTGAACTGAACTCTTCCGAGGCTTTTGCTGGTCGGCGTTGTGCACTTGCCGTCAGTACATATTGGTTTCACAAAAGACCCCACCTGCTATCATATTTTTGGAAGCTGGCCGCAATCTCCCTGTCACTCGGCCGAGCTGTTGACTTGCTTGTCGGAATTCCCGGTTGTTCAGGCACCGCTTTCGGTTATTGTTTGATCTGTTCCCTGCTAAACAGATCAACCAGAAAACGGATTATTTTTTCTAGCAGGCCGACGTATCCTTGCATGACCAGCTGCGTGTGAAGGGCCGAACCTTGAGACAAATTGTCGCTTGCCCGTCAGACGCTTTTCCAGAGAACTTGGGTCTTTGCCCCCAGATCGCTTTCGGAGTGGTTCGAAGCGGCTGTTGGGAATAGTTTCCTGCGGGTCTGCAGGGATTGTCATAACCTTTATCGGGGATGTTGTACGAGCAATGTAACGGTTCCTGTTGAGAGGATGTCGCAGATGTATCTACACAGCTGGAGCACATTGATTGGAAAATGTGGAATCATGAGGACTGACAACTGCTGAGGACCTGCAGTTGCAGTGAAGTGACATGAGAACAGCATAGCAAACTTAGGGCTATATTGCGGTTGCAAGGATAGCAAAGAGGCAAGCCAATGATCTCCATCAGTCGGTCGGTTCACAGTACAACAAACTGTGCACAAGCACAGTTGCAAGTTGCAAGTAAACCAAACACAAAGTGTGGGTGTGTTTGTTTTAATAGGACCTCCCTAAAACAAATGGTTGAACCTTTTTGTTTCCCTTCCAAAACAACAACAAAACAGTACCCTCAAAAACGGACAGCCCGATATCGGGAAAATCCAGCGTTGTTTGTTTTGTTCGGGGCTTAAGCTCAAATTTGACCCAGGATCAATCAGCCGCGGACGATTTGTTGAAGATATCACAAATTGAATGTAGGAACCCATGAACCCCGAACCCGAACCCGAAGGGGCTCGACATTCTGCCAGGGTCCCTACTGTATTTTTGTCCAGGGTCTTTAAGTCCTTTGGGCAGTTTTTCTTGTGCGCCCCGTTTCAGACAGAGAGGGCAGGGCAAGCGGTCAACTTGAGGTGCGTGTTTCCTTTTTGCAGGGCGACACAAACAGGAGCCCTGTTTTTGTTGTCGGAGCCTATGTTCTGAGAAGGAATGACTAACCATTGTACTTTGGTTCACCCGGAAATGAGGGTGTTTCAGAATGCGGGACTGGATGGAATATTTGGTCCCCGATTTTGAGAGACCGCCACCGGCTCGTTGCTATGCCTATCATTCCCATGCCCCTTGTTTGCCCAAGCCTTCAGGCGTTCGAGCTGGGCCCCTCCTCGCCTTCCGTGCGAGCCATGGAGCACACTACGCGCTTAGCGGCTCGCCAGCGAGGGGGTGGGGGGGGGTACCCGGATACCACCTCCCAGAGGGTCCAAGTACCTTCTGAGGTACTTGGACCCCTTTTTCCCCCCAGAAGCATTTCTGAGGAGGTACTTGGACCCTTTTCACCTTGCTTTGCGTGACAACCCGACAAGCAGAGGGATGTGTTTTTTCCGTTTCAAGACGTTTCACCTGCATAAGGAACAAGCATGCTCAGAAATCATGGGAGGCATTGCAAGGCCAGAAAAAATAGTGAACGCGTGAATCTGGTCCACACCAGGAAGGCAAACATGGAGCTCGCAAGGCAGCGGGCGCTTGGCGCTGTCAATTGGAAGCTCCTTGCCTTTTGCTTGAAGGCCCTGAACTACTCTCCCATCGGTCGGCGAGTGATGTGTTTGCCTTGCAGATGTGTGAGTGTTTAAAAGCAAGGGGTGCTCTTTTGTGCTTAATACCGTGGCTGGACAAGATCCTGCAGGTGGTTTATCCCCATTATTCGTCGTAGGGTTTGTCCCAAGTGGTGCGAATGGATTTCGTCCACACAGAGTATTGTAGTCTTTTGACACCAGCAGGACACCCCCCGATGTTTCTACCTGCGGCTTCATTGCCGGGTTCGTTGCAAGGCCAACGCGCGGCTCGGAGCGCTGAAGACGATCATCTTCTTCGGGAAGATGGACGGGGACGGCGCCTTGGTTTTTTTGTTGGGGCCCCTAAGTGCCTTGAATTGGAGATTTGGGGATTTGGGGAGAAAGTTTGTTGTTTGCATGGTGCTGTTAGGTTGTGACACTGTATGGCTTGCACCGCCCTTTTATGTTCCATCTTCAGCGTTGCAGGGAAGTACGCGAGTTGTTCGCAACCAAATAGTAGTGAGAACACACGCCGGTTGAACCGGTTGAGTTTCCCAAACCCCTTTGGCCGTGGGGAGACAATCATTTGGCATGTGGCTTGGTATGCCTTGGTATAGGGGGTGATCAATATTCCTGGCCCCAAATGACCATGGGTAGCCTTTCAAGCATGTGGCGGACATATCATATTTTTTCTTGGTTTTCCAAGCAAGGGTCATGCTATCTACCCCAGTAGTGTTTCCCCTACTAAAACAGACTACCGAAACAAGGGCGCCCATATTCTAACCTCTCTACTGGAGGACCTAGCTATGTTTACCGGACCCTTTAATCAACCCCCGTATGCAAAAAATGTTCAGAGCTGTGCTTTGGCTCTTGGATGTGTCGCCTGCGCTGACTGCCTCCCCTCAAGGCTTAATCCTTCCCCGGGGTTGCGAGAAAAGGATCTCCTTGGTGGTTTTCCCAACAGGGGTTATAGACTGGCTTCGGTTTGGTTAAAACCATTTATTTTTCAATCCATCTTGTTTCTGGACTGCTGTTGCTATTGGGTTGGATCTTTAGACTTTAACTGTTTGGAAATCAAGGGTTTTCTGAATTCAAGCCACAACAAGCTAAACTTTTGCAGAGGGGTCAACAGCAACCAAGCTTTGAACCCACTTGCAGGCCCCTTCAGCGGCGAGTGCTACGTGCAGAGCAACTCTGTGTACGGTGCCGCGATCGTTGCTAGCTCAGGTGTCGAATGTCCTAGACGTGGGGCAAATCATGAGAACAGATGTTTGTTGTTCAAAGGTCCGCTTCCTAAAGTGCTTGGTTGAATTGCTTGTGGTTTCCTTTTACCAATCCAAGGGAGGTCCGAATTCGAATTTGAGAAACAGAGCGACCCATTTCATCCCCCAAAAATGCGATTAACCTTTTCGGCGTTTGTTCCAACAATTAATTGCTTGAACCATTTTCAAGCAGGCAGTTGCTTGCCAGCGTTCAATGAAGATGATATCATCGAACACGTCAGCGCAGAAGCTGGGACAATCCTCACCAAAACTTGGAGTGAGTTGCAGTATGCAGTATGTGCCATGCTACGGCCATGAGAAGGAAACATCGCACTCAGCTGCCACACATTTGCCGCAGATGACGAGTTGCATCATACATCTGGCCATGGGTCAACACCAATGGGATCCCATTTTGGTTGGTCAATGAATTCACCACCCATTTTAGAACCTATTTGAGTGGCTGGATTGGGATGTAACCACTGGGGGTACGATTTGCGTTTTGACCCATAGCCATGTGGCCACGGAGGAATTCCGAGCAGAATCCTTGGCAGGGCCCATCTCTTCACAACAAAAATGTAGCATGCAGTCACTTGGTGGTGCCATGGGTCTGCCGCATTCATGCTTGGGGTGTTTTTTTCTTCAAGGAGTCATTGCCTCCGAAGGCACCGTTTGCCCCGACTTGACGGTTGGCCCGCCAATAAAAAACGACATGGCTCCCTGAAAGTCAGAGATTCAGAGATGGCTCCCTGAAAGCCATCCCCCCTGTTTGGGCTCAAGCATCGTTCGAACTGGATTTTTCTGAGCAAGGAATTCAATCGGCAGAGATCTTAAGTTTTTTTGTTGTTGGGCTGCGGGTTTCGAATTCTTTGACATTGGTTTAGTATTGGTTGTAAAAAAACGTCCCCTAGTCAGACTGCAGTTGTAGGCGGGACATTTGCCCCTGTACCAGGCCTTCCCAGATAGCCAAGTTGCAGCTTTTTTCAGTCAAAGTTGCTGGTTTTTGGGGTAAAGTGCATGGCAGGTTCATTGTGGACAAGGATTGATCCAACTGAGGCTTTGCCGCAGGTTGCCCGGAGCTGTGGTTGGCCTGGCACTCTCGTCGCGGCCTTTCGGACGGACATGCTTCAAGCGGATCTGGGGGTAAAAGCTTCCCCAGAATGCTCCTTTTTTTTTGGGGGGGGGGTCCCTTTGTTTTCCACTAACCAGGCATTAGTTTTTTTTGCTGGGGTAGCCAAGAAAGCAGCTCATCATGAATCATAGCTTGATTTTTCATGTGAGGGTGAAAAGACACCTTGATTTGGGTAGGTAGGGGATGGTCATCATCGGTGGCGGGACAAGCCTAAGGATTCATTCTCAGTACCATGACCATGGCAACCACAGATTCGGAGTTTTGAGAACACACTGCAGCTGAGACGCCTTGATTTACTTGACGGACAACAAACCTTCGAACCCGGCCTGCAGATTGCAAATGCAGCCGTTGGGATGGACGCACCCCTATGAATATTGGCATACACCATATCCAACCGGTGCGCTTCGTGGATGAACCATTCACATTGTCCTTCATCCCGTCCCAGCGCACTTCTCTTTCAGGGCTCCAAAGCGCGAAGAATGTTCTTTCAGCCGCAGTGCCAGGTGAATCATTTTTTTTGAATAGGGGAAGACTCCGCAGGTTCAGTGCCGGAACCTCCGTAAAATGCCACTCTGCGCACAATTGTCTACAGTGTACTGCATGGTCCTCGCCATGGGCTGACTGCAGCACGGGTATGCCGTTGTTTTGTCCCTCCACCGGCAGTTTTCTTTGCAAACAGGATGCGCCTGCTTGTGATCAGCTCCTCAGGTTTCTGACATGGAGAAAGGGGCCATTTGCAGAAAGGCGCATCGCCTTCTGGCCCTTGGTCAAGCCATTTCTATATGGCTGTGGTTGTCAAAACCGTTTTGGTACCATTTTGGGGTTGGTGAATTCACCACCCATGTTAGTCTATTTTAGTGGGGGATTGGGATGTTCACTGGGGGTACGATTTGGATTTTGACCCCATGGCCATATTGGCCCAGCTCCGCCAATCTCAGGCTTCTGTCAGGATCTACCTGCTTTGTCTTGCCAACTTCCTGCTTCAGGCTTCGGCTAGCGACGGGGGCAGATGCAGATGGTGCAGCTGTGTGTCAGAGATCCCCAATTCCCAGGGATCCTTCTTTCTAGAAAACCACCAAAACTCCTGGGGAAATGGCTGGTTCTTGAAAAGAACGATGGCTAAAAAGAATGGGGAATCAGCCCCAAGAACAAGCACCAGTGTTCGGGTCATGTCACGGTGCAAAGCGACGATGTCAAGTTAAGACTTGTCATTGCAATGTATTGCGCTCGCTTGCCCAAGAGCATTTACCTTGCGGGGCCTTATTGAATGTCTATTTTGCTCAAATCAAAATGCACCGGTCACAAGAGTTTGCCAGTTTTATATTGGGTCAAACACAACTCGGGGCTGTTCTTCGCGAGGCCTACTTGATCTCCATGATCGGCGAGGAGAATCTGGCATGATCCAGTTGCTTCCTAAACCCGCGCAGGTTCATTGTCCTCTCGGCCAATGCGCTGCTACCTTGCAGATGAGACCCTGTAGACTTGCCAGACAAACAAAACACGAGTCGATCATAGCGGGAAGCGGCATAGTCACAGATCGCCCTAGCACGTACATTCATACATCCCAGCACCTTCCACAAAAGATAATCAACTTTCCGTGTGCATGCGGGGACATTCGTAATCAACTCGAAGATGTTGATATATTGAATGTCATTGAACCACCCGGGTCTGCTGTCTTTCTTGATGAAACTTTTTGGTTGGGTAGTTTTGAAGGTACAGCTAGAGGTAATCCAACATTTTTGGGGGTCCTCAAAGTTCAATAGTCTGAGTCATTCATTGACCCTTTTATCTTTTTCGCTGCTACCAAGAGTTGCTGAGGAAAGGGGTCTTGGCCACGCTGTGAACAAGGCACATACCATGTGTGAAACAAAGGTGCCACCTTTTTTTTGTTTGACACTCTGGGTCCCTTTCGGCGGATTCACTGAAATCCAGAGCCATGGAGCCATGGGAAAGTTGACGCCTAAGAGGCCTAAGAGACGCGTCTCTTCTCGTGCTTGACCGCGTCTCTGAAGCATGGGGCACGTCTAAGCGAATTGTGAGTTCAGGAATAACCTTTCACGTCTCTTTGGGACTGGCGTGTTTGTAGGGTGGAACCATGGCACTGACTCGAATGAGAAACTCCGACCATGGCACATATGATAAAAACAAGCTTATTCCTCGAGAATAAATCCTCCCCTTCCTCTTCGGGTCTCCAGGAGCAGAACTTTTGGTACCCCTTTGCGGGGCAGATGCACCTCTGTGACTTCGGTTCTGCCATCCAGGACGTATGCGGTTTGTGAGGAATCTTGATCGGGAACCCGTGGGTGGACAGCATCTACAGGCCCAGTGTTGTCAACCAATTATTGTTCAGGGTGTGCTCGGGAACGTTCATATGTCGCAACACAATGGGGCCAAATGAAAAAATGTACTTCTGCAGATTGATGATTAGCATGGACCCGCCAAAGCCTTTTTTCTTACAGGAACATGTCTCTGGTGAAGCCCGTGATTTGGTTCAAGGTCAATCTGCAGGGCAGTAACTGTCATCAGGAGCAATCCGCCAGGGGACAGATCGTATATTGACTTTCCTAGCCCTCCATAGACCCCAGAAATAATGAGAGAGGAAACCCAAAGGACACCAATCAATTTCTGCTTGAAACATCCATATTTCTCAAAGCCAAGCCCGGGCCATGAGGTTCCATGATCATCTAGCACGGTGCATGGTTGGTTTACTTGCAGCAACACCGGTGGTGGTTCGTGTATGGATTAACGATTGGGTTATGTCGGGTTTATGTGTTGCTTCTTGTGATGTGTTTTTTTTTCTTTTTCGGGGAAGCAGTCGGGATTGGTGGTGTATCAACCACTAATATAATTTCAAGTTTTTTCCCAAGAGGGGCGAAACTAGCATGTCACCCAGAGTATGATCCCAAAACCATACGAATCAAAGGCTCTCGTTAGAGCTCGAAACAGAGCTCTGTGTCGCAGATGGGTGTGCCCTTTTTAGCGGGGGGCACCAGTAGTTCTCTTGGGCTTGTTTGAAACGGAGCTGAAAGGGAAACCATCCGGTTTGGGCTTCCCGCACTTGAAGACAAACCCAAATATATGAAGTGTTGTGCAACCAAGTCTATCAAAAGGAAAACGGTCTTCCTGATATCTTCCTTTAGGTTTGACCTTCCGGTGGCAATGTGCGAAATGCAAAATCCGGTCCATACTCATTTGTGGGCCACCCTGAGTGTGTCTGCATTTTATTTTTATTTATTTTTTCGCTGGTTGGTTCCTTAGGGTTCCCCTCAAAGCCACGGTGGCTTTGTCGAGGGCACGCTGAAAAAGGTTCCTCGAACGATGAAAAAGAAAACTATCAATTTGGATTGGTCCCCCAATCCCCCTACAACCCAAAACGGAGCCCCCCGAAAGGAGATACCTCCGTAACGATGTGTTTGGGGTTCCATAGGTCCTTTACATGGGCAGACCAGTGGGGCAAAACAAATAAAAGATGACGTTGCGCATGGTCGTTTGGGGCCCGAACGGAATCTTGCTCAACCCCCATACGGGGGTGTGTTTTTTAAGGATCCTTTTTGGGTGGCTTTAAAGAGAAGGAAAACCAAAGCCCATTTTTCGGGGTCCGACTCCTTAATCAAACACACCCATAATATACTTAAAAGATGACATTTCAACCACTAAATGGGGACACTTACCCATGGTCATTTGGAGGCCCTAAATGGAATTTTAAATGATCAACCCCCATACGCATGAGGCTTTGTCCAAGCCTTCCGGTGTCCCAGGACTGCCCTGACGGCAAAAACTGCCTGGGGCCTGGTGGCACGAACTACACCTACCCGCGGCTCTACGGCTACGACTCCCGGCGATCATGTATGTTGCTTGTTTGTTTGTTTGTTTGTTTGTTTGTTTGTTTGTGTGCTTGCTTTGTTTGTTAGTTTTAAGGGAGGGTGTGTGTCTCTTGCCAAAGTGGGGTGAAGTACCCTAAGACGACCTGTCGGAAACCCGTTCTTGCTTTGTCGTTGGGTTCACTGGATCATTGGCTTGTTGATGGTTGACAGGGTCCAACAACTTTCAATCCTGCGGCAAGCCACCTGCCGCAGGACCGGATTTGCTGTGTAGCTACCAAATCCACGGGCAGCCCTATAAATCGTGGGATATACCACCAACCCCAACTGATACCTGAAGGCGCCATGACCCACAAATGGGCTCATGCACCCAACAATCAGTCCCCCCAGGTGTTGAGGGGCGTTTTGCTTACATGAGCCCATGTGAGGGTCAGAAGACTCCAGGAACCAAATTAGCACAGGATGGAAATGAGGGGTCACCCCCCCCCACCCAATTTTTTTAGGGTTAACCCCCCCCTTTGGCTGGATTTGCCCATGTGAGAGTGGACAGGATTTGCTCCGGGAGCCGAGGATTTGTGGAGCACTCGCAGCTTTGTGAAGCAGAGCTTTCAGGCGCTGTGAAGAGGGGGGGCGAAGAGCGCAGGAGCAGGTCCTGTCTTCCATTTGCTGAATGGTTTTTTCAATTTTTACCTGTTGGTTTTAAAGGGAATCGATTTCACTACTGTTTTTTGTCAGGGGACTTGAGCAAATGGAGGTGGTGCAACCAGCCGCCCGTTTCTTTGGCCGTTGTTGGGTGTGGAACTGGAAAGGGGATCCATTGAAAGTGACCCGAAAGTGGGGGATCTCATTTTTTGGTTGGGTGGGTCAATGTTGTGTCCTAGTCATTTGTGTGATTGCTCTTGGGGGTTCCGACACTTAACGCCTATCGCCTTTGGCCAGGGGCGTCTCTTTCTGCCCTTGCCAACTTTGATTCTCCAGCACCCATGCACCCCACATAGGTTGCAAGCATGGCCAAGAGGCAGTTGGTTGGAAATGGCCAAGGGTGGACTTCCCAAGATCGGTTGGATGTGAGCTGATTCAAATTATGGGGCGTTGACACACCAGCCCACTTGCCCAAATTGGAAGGTTTACCCTTTCGCCTATCTTCTGTTTCTTTTGAGTCATGGGAGTCATGGTTGCTAGAGCCCAGGGTATGAAGCATGACAGGTGCGCAACAAGTTGTGTCGCTTTCCGGTTGGTTGGGTGCCCCATTTCCGGGAAATGGCTTCTAAGTTGCTACCCTCCCTGCCACAAACATAGCAGCTGGATGGGTATTTGGAAGTTCACTTTCCTCTTGTGACCCCCCTGTCAGGTGGGCTTCATCCATGCCAGGTGCCTGAAGTACCTTTTGTCCCAAAAATGTCGGGGCGGCAAACAAGAAAGCCATGAAGTTGAACACCCCTGGGTCCCCTAGTAGTGCCCTTTTACCGTTTCTTTTTTGGGGGAGGGTTCCCCTACTGAAACAGACTACAGAAGAAAAAAAAAGGCTAGACCTAAGCAGGAGCAATCCCCTCTGAAAAGGCGCCGGGGCGCTGACAGTAAATCATCTTATCTTAATTCAACTCTTTTAATTGTTTGTTTGCTTTGTCTTATATGTTGCTAATTTCTGTACTTTACCATCTAGTTTCTTGTTACTCAGGGGGTTCTGAGCCAAAAAAGGGGGTCAGAACCCCTGCAAAACTTAGGAACCTTTTGGAAAAGGATAGCCGCTCCCCTGAGTAAAAAGAATAGTATCAAATCATGTAAAGCACCACATAATTTGCTACATTGGTCGTAAGATAGTCTGATAGTAGAATAAAAAGTTAAAGCTTTGATTTACTGTACTATCTGTCAGAGCGCCCCGGCGCCTTTTCAGAGGGTATTGCTCCTGCCGAGGTCTAGCCCTCCTATCGGGGGATCGGCGCGCCGCTGTCTAACCTCTCCACTGCAGGACCTAGACCCTTCCCCGCGCCACCGCCCCCCGAAAAAAAAAAATCGCGAGCCAAAAACCCCACCTTTCGGAACCCGCAGGCGGTTTTCCCCCACACCGGCCTGGACCAAATCGACCCCGGGGAGTGCCTGGCCCAGGGGTGTGGGGGTCCACCTGCTCGTCCGAAGCCTTTTTTTTGGAGCTGGCGCCCTTTTTGGGGGGTCCGTTTTAAAAGGGAAACCACCGGTGGAAGATCTTCTTTTTGTTAAAAGCCACACCCTTTGGTATCTCAATTGTGTATGGAAAGACCTCATTTTGCTTTGGGGGGCCCTCCTTTAAACCACACACCCTTTAAAGTTTCTAAGTTGTGCATGACGACATGTTTGCGTTATTTGTTGTTTGTTTTTCCCATTACGGCACCTCAGAGAGCCCTTGGGTAAGCTCCGCATTCTCATCAGAATGCTCAGGTTGAGACATGTTCACTGGGTGTCCAAGGGGGTGTTTCCTCAAGATCTGGATCCCCTGTCAAACGAAACACCTCCAAAATGGAAGCCTTCCCGATGCTAAGAGACTTTGTGCATGACCTGCATTGCAACTGGCTTCAAACTCTTATGTCATGTTTTTTGTGTTTCCGCTCGAGAGCGTACAATGATTCAAGCAGTTGGCCAGGGGGTATTTTGGGAAGTTTGCGTGTTCCTGGAGCACACACCCTTATTTCCTGGGTACTCTCCTGTACTATGGCTGGCTTTCATAGGTTGCTACCAAATTTTCATGGTTCATGAGAAATCGACCAAGGGTTCATGGTTCATAGTGGGAACCCAGGATTAGCAACAACCCCGCGATCGATGCATTCGGCTGCGTCCCGGGGACATGAGACAGAAAACATCATTTCGCTGAGGTACGGCCTGGAAAGCTTCTGGTGCAGCAACTCGGACTTCCACAAGCCACAAGCCACCAAAGTTCACTGTGTTGCCCAGTGGTGCCATTTTTTCCCGTTTTCTGGGCAAGGGTTTCCCTTTAAGCTCAACCAACAAAGAACGGGTGCTCCGTGTTTCCATGGGCACTGGGCATCTGAGTGGGTGATCAAAAGTTCCTTTGCATGGACCATTGCATGGATGAATATTAGGAGAATCAACAAACAAAGTATCAGTCGTTTTGGGGCCAGGAATATGGCTCAACCCCCCATTTATTGAATTAGAGTCCCCGCAAAGGTCTTGAGGATGTTTCAGAACTGACATATGACGCTCCCCCCCGCCAACCAGGATGTTTCAGAACTGGACATTGTATGACACGCCTCTCCACATTTACACGAGATCCCCGCAATGGGGCAGGAGGCACATCCATGAGGACCATGGGGTTCTGCGTAAAACCTATCTGATTTCTGGAATCGCCCAATGCCACGGAGAATGCCCGCAAAGAATGCTTGCCGCATCTTGCCGCCCCATCTTTGCTAAAAGTATGCGTGGATCGCATACTACATTCAGCCATCATGAGTCATGAATCTCTCTCAATGATCGCCCTGAAGGGCTGTTCATTTTGCTTCGCCTTTCGGACTTGGCGAAGCGGAAAGGAAAGCGAGTCTTTGGCTTGATTGTTGTTCGTGGGAGCCCGGCGTAGACAATGACACGGGAGCATCAGGTGATGGTTTCTTCTGCAAGGGGCAAAAGCCACATTTCCGCTGCAGATCCTGAATCAACACGCACGCAGAGCTTCCCCGCGGCCTCTGTGCCAGTGTGTGGCCCTCCTCAAATAGGTGCGGGGAAAATGGCGCCACCCCATGTTGCCCTAGAATGGGCGCCCCATGTTTCAGAAAGCGGGTGGGAAGTGAGGTGGCAACGGGTATTCATGGGGGCTGGCAGGGAGGAGGGGGAGGGAGCCCAGATAAGCCCTTATTAAGCCCCTAGTAAGTATGGTGCTTATTGGGGCTCCCTCCCCCACCCCCTCCCTTCCCCCCCAGCCCCCCTGAGGTATAACCACTGCCCCGATTTGCCCGCATCCGCCTTCTGCTGAGGGCTGGCCTGCGTGTCCTTGTTCCTGCTGGCCACCATGGATGACCTCAGCGACAACCTGCAGAGTGCCAAGACCGGAGGGAACTGAGATGGCTATGGGTCAAAATGAAACCAGGAACTGGACCGCAGGTTTTAGTCCTGGGTTCCATTTACCAGGGTTTCATTTTGGGTACCCACATTTTTGACCCACAGCCACTGTACTCGCCAGTTCTTTTTGTTGGGGCGCTTGGCGCTTGGCATCTTGACCGCGATTTTTCAGGGGGCCTCTTCCAAACACTGTCTGGTTGCGCCTGCAAAAGTCAAAAAATCAAAAGGGGCTTCCCTCCCTAGGGCTTGCGCCTGCAAAAGTCAAAAGACAACTTCTGCCCCCCAGGGCCCTAAGAGCACCCGGCTTTCGGACACTCGCCAGGACTCTTCTGATGACACCAGCGGAGCCCGAGCCGTGGGTGGAGATGGACGTCCCTGACTGGGCCAGCAAACAAGATGTGAAGCCCCTCGGCTGAGCATAGCGGTCGTTGTTTTCTTGTTTTGGTTGGCCCCGTCTTTGGCTCGGAGTGAGGTTTTTGTGTGTGTTTTGGTTGGCCCCTTGTTTTGGTCAGGGTGAGGCTCGTTGCTTTTTTGTTGTTGCCCCGTGTTTGATCAGAGTGAGTTTGTTGTTGGTTGTCTCGTAGAATATGTGTTGTCACCCAAACATTGTGTTCATCAGCATTTAAGATGATGCTTTCCTGTATGATCCAACATCGCACACACTCTAGACAAGGATCGGTACCACTGCTTGTTGTCCACTGGAGCCACTCTGCAAATTGTTGCGTTGCTGGTGATCGGGTTTCCTTTTTGTGACACGTCGCCCTTTGGGGGTTGCCACACAAATTGCCCTGGCAGAGTAATAGGTTGAAGGCGAGGCTGCTGAAAATCCTGTCGATCCAGGCCTTCGCCTCCATCTTCCATTTGTTACGCATGTTGACTAGGTCCCCCAGCTAGGTACCCTTTTAACGTTTCTTTTTTGGTTGGGAGGATTCCCCTACTAAATTAGACTACCTAAAAAAATGGTACCCTTATTCTACCCTCTCTCCTGGAATGGGCAGCAGCTGGGCGTCTCACTGGGCTTATAGGGTGTGTTTTTGAGGTTAGTTTAAAGGGAAGCACCAACTTATGGGTCCGATGTCCCAGCTTAAGCACATGGCCCAGCGGTTTGGTATGTGCGGCCACGTTTGGCTTCAAGGATCCAATGAGCCGACCATGGTCGGGTGGTCCTTGAAAGCACGCGCGCAAATCGCTGGCGGACAGGGGAGCCCAGATGTTACTGGGGTCACTATGTTGACCATTTCTGGGGGTATTCACAGTGTGGCGGTTTCCATTTAAATTACCAGCTGTGTAACTTTGGTGCTGATTCTGGTAGAACAATGGCGCCAAGTCTACAAACCCAGAGTCCACGGCCCTTCAAAGATGGGGTCATCTACCAAGAACGAGGGGGGCACCCTGTTTTTCAGAAATCACGGAGACTTCAGGAAAGTGGCAGTTTCATGGTTTAACCACAAGACCTCTTCCGGCCTTAACCCCACGAGAAAACTGAAAAACCGGAGCCCTGGGGTCTGCTTTTGGCTATAAGGCAGCCTTGAGAGAGGGGCGACTTAAAGTGAAACCAAAGGGAAACCACCGATCTTGTGGGACGTGGAATATGATCAGCACCTTGACCAAGCTTTAGCTAACACAGAAAGGTGGTTTGGATTGGTGGCTTGAACCCCTTCTTCGGGGTAAATGGAAAACTACTCGCTAACCGCACCACCGAGCTCTCCACCGAGCTCTGTTTGAGGGAAGCTGAAAGCGGTTTCCCCTTGAAGAGTGGCACCTGGAAGCTGTAGGCAGACCTGGTTGATTGCAAAACGCAGCCTGTCAACTAATCAAAGCCTACTTGCTGAGTACCTTCGTTGCTAGAAACAACTTTAGTATAGCTTTGTGCCTGGCAGACCAAATATGGCTATGGTTCAAAGCCATTTTGGGATGGGTGAGTTCACCACCCATTTTAGAGCCTATTTCAGTGGTTGGATTGGGATTTGTTTACTGGGGGTACGATTCGGTTTTTGACCCATGGCCATATGAGTGGTATAGAACCTCCATACCTCCAAAACCCGAACCCCGAGTCTCGACCATGTGCGAATGAACTCAATCAACAGCAAGGGGCCCCATGTTTAAAGGGTCAGAACACCAACGTGGAAGAGCCGAAAGGTCAACAGTCGGATTTTGACCCATGGCCAAATAGAATCCGAGCAGTTTTGTTCTGCAAGCCGAGGGAGTTCAACGACCACACAGAGCTGGACTTGGTGAACTTCAAAGTGGCGGGCATGCCGCTGCATTGGAAGCTCCTGAATGCGCCTCGTTGGGCGTGCCCGTTGCTTTCTGCGGATACATGGGTAGTCAAAATGAAACCACCAGGAATTGGACCGCAGGCTTTTTAGTCCTTATTTCTACTTACCAGGGTTCCATTTTGGGTGCCTATTTTTGACCCCACTGCCACATGCTCAAAACACCCCGTGGGCTTCGGGGGGTTATAAGGTTATAAGTCATGGACTCCTTGATGTTGGACAAGCATTCAAAGGGTTATTTGGCTGTGGGTCAAAAATGTGTACCCAAAATGGAACCCTGGTAAATGGAGACATGGACGAAAGCCTGTGGGTTAATTTTGACCCACACCCATTTTAATGGAACCAGGGCCATCAGGTTTCGACCATCATGTGAGCAACGACATCAGACTTTGGTTTGTGCATGGATTTTTGGGCGGAGCAAATCAAGGTGTTCGGTTGGGGAAGATCAGCCATGGACGAACATCCGGGTCTTTTTAAGGGACTGCCCCCAGAAATGCTGTGTTTTTTCGGGTTCCCTTAAAACCACTCCAAAAAACAGGTGTTCCTGGAGTACTCCAGGTTCTAAGAAAAAGGTGAGCCAACCATATGGGATGCGCAAAAAACAATACGAAAAACAATATTATTCCGGAAGGGTTTTGTGTTTTTTCCTAGGCCTGCGGATGAGGATTAGCCCCCCCCCCCGTTTGGAACGACCTAAAGCACGGCAACCTGTAATTCACTGACTGGTTGGGCTTCATGCAGACTTCACTTCCCGAGTTCATGTTTTTGTGTTTTTTTTTTGGGGGGGGGGTGGACAATTTGAGTGGTAAACAACAAGTTTGGACTTTGTCTGGCCCGTCAACTCAGGAAGTCAGATGCAGATTGGAGGCCAAATGCTGGAAGGCTTTCTAGTACCCGTGGACATGTTCGCGAATCGTTGACGAGAATGGTGTACGTCTAGCTCCCCCAGTAGTGCCCTTCTCTCCCGACTTTTTTGGGGGAGAGTTCCCCTACTAAAATAGACTACAGAAACAAGTTCATACCCTTATTCTAAACCTAGACCTGGCGCAAGCTGACAGACAGGCGGTTATAGGCATCCAATAGCCCCGGCCAGTGAGAGAATCAGCAAAAGCAACGGTATGGGTTGATACCCTCCCCAAAGCAAACATGGAACCTGCACAGGGGTGCCCTGTGAAGGGTCTATGTTCGCTTTTGGAGGGTAAATTGTAGCTATGCTAGCTGTCGTTGAGCAGGGACACCGCGAAATGGTTGATTTTTCGATTTGCATGCTTGTTGCAGCGACAATACGTATTGCAATCGCAACAAACTACAGCGTTTGGATGCGCAGTCCAAATGACTTCGGCCTCCTGCAGTTGCTAGGCTGAGAAAGAGAGACAGAGAGCAAGATAACTTGCCCCTTTGGAACTTGGCCAAAGGCATCAACAAGCAATCACTGATGCACTATGGCTGATCAGAAGGGAGGATGTAATGGATGTAGCTGTCCGTGTTGACCACAATTTGGTTGTTGAATACTGCTTACCGGAAGAAAACACATAACACACAATTGTGACTGTTTAAGCATTGTCCAGAAGAAACATTGTGTTCATTGCAGTTGATTGCCTGACGATTGATTGGCTTTATACTCAAGGGCCAAGCACGGAAGCATTCAGGCCATTATCATTCTGCTGCCGAAGACGCTGCTTTGGATTGGAGTGGTGCGTTCCGGCGTGCATTACCTGATGGAGACTGGAGATATCATAGACGTGGTGGTCAATGGAATGGCTCTCAGCTTTATCCTCAGCGTGCCTTTGCTTGATAGATGCAGGCCCTTTTGTCAACGCATGCTTCAGATATTTGCCCGATTTGGACCTGAGTGGGTTGGCCCAAAAGCAACTCATGTGGTTTTGTTTGCCACTGAATTGTCTTCCCAAAGCTTTTAATGCAGAAATCACGGAGTGAATAGCTTGCTTGAAAGACTCAGTGGTCATTGGATAAGTTCAGGTAGCCTCCAGCTAACACTTCCGCAATTTCTTTTTCGCACTAAGCCCGAAAGTCTCGAGGTTGTCTCGAACGGGTTTGTCTCAGTTTCCCTGGTTTCTCCTTCAAACCAACAAATGTTAGCCTCCAGAAAACAGAAACACCCCAAATAGGAGAGCCCCAGGCAGTTCCATTCTAGTTCCCTTCAAACAAACCCAAAAAGCCTGAATTCCTGTGGTCTTTCCGCGCAGCTCCCTGTCTTCCAGTAGCCTTCCTGTAGTCTTCCCCTAAGCTGGCGCACGAAAACATGGAGCGCAGTGCTCAACTTAGGTGGATGAGATGATTTTTTCACGCCTCTGTAGCAGTGTCGAGATCCACATCATGCGCCTCACCCAGAAAGAAGCAGCTCTGAAAAGCTTCGAACGGTTCTGTTCAGATTGGCTCCGGAGTGGTTGGGAGCAGCTCCGGGCTAGGCTGGAAGGGTTTTAGAAGGGTTCCCGAAGGGTTCCGAAAGGGTTCCAGGCCTAGTTTTGGATTTCAAACCAACCAAGAAGGGTGCCCAGTTTTAATGGCCGTTGGAGATCTGGGATTACCAGAAGGGTCAAATCGTCCTATTGACCCATTTTGTGCGCACCTGTTTTTGATTTTGATAGCCAGTTTTCACAATAGCATCGCCATTCGGAGCCACCCCTGTTCGTTTCGGCCCCCAAAGAAGATCAGGGACACAGGGTTTTCTCGCAATAATACTTACCTCTTAAAAACACAGCTTTTCAACTTTTTGGGTAACTATATGTCTGTAAAAGGTTAACTTCCCCAATCCTTGGAGTTTTGAGGGGTATAGGGGTCCCCGAAAGTGGTTGGGTTCCTTCTGTTTCTCTTCAACTACCAAGGAATCGGAGGCTCGCTAGTTGGAGAAACTGCAAGGTAAGCTGTTAGAGGATGGACTTGTTTGGATGGTTTTGCAGGGAAACCAAAGTTTGACCTGTTTTTTTTTTCTCCTTTCCTTGCGGGGCTCACTCATTTAGAGACAGACCATGTGGAGAATCATTGGATTGTGTTTGGTTGGAACTTCTTGGAGCTCCTTTGCCACGGTAGGGATGGACGTGTTTCCTGAAAGGATTTGGACAGCCAGCTCCTGAACCCATGGCCGCAGCAACAAAGAGAGGAAGAGAGAGAGAGAGAGAGAAAAACCAAAAAAACAATAGAAAGAGAAAGTGTTTTGCGTATGATATATATATATATAATATGTGCATCTCCAAATGGACCCTTTGGACATCAAGATTCGGTGAGGGTTCATGTGCCCAAATAAGAATCCTTAAGCACAATGACAATTAATAGTTGGTAAGGGGACCATGACCAACCGCCACAAGAGTTCAAGAGTTTTGACCGTGGCTCATATGGGTGGACGAAATCCGAAACCAGGGTGCCTGAAGCGGAGTTCGCAACCAACCTACGAAAAAACATGGTTTCTGATTCGATTCCCCAACCTAACTAGACACAAGTTTTTCCGTATAGCTTAGGCGAAAGATGGAACCTTTGAAGCTCTACGACACACACATCGAGGAGCACGAGTCGGACGAGCAGGCGATCGCTCGATTCGAGGCTGAGGCCGAGCAAGTCGGCTGCTTCAGCTGCTTGAATGAAGCATCGGTCTTTCGGGTCCGGAAAGTGTCGCTCGGTTCGCTTTCTGAGTGCCTGGAGTCTCCTTCTGACCCTCTCTCTCTGTCGCAAGTTAAGTGTCGCCTAATGCATCCCCCTTCTGACCCTTTGATGCTTGGTCATTGCCCAAAGGAATGGTTGGTCATGGACCCATGATTAAAAGAGTCAGAAGGAGACTCCAGGTAAAATGGCCCTCTAGTCTTAGGTTGACTTTCTCGGGTCATTTCATGAAATGGGGTCCAACAAACATCAAAAAGAAAGACCGCGTGGCGGGCCTTTGCCGGATCACCTTGGAGAGAGCTTTTGGAAAGAAATGGCTTTTCCAGTTACCCTACAATCAAAATTAACAACAAAATGTGCTTGGGGAAGAGCAACCCAGGACGTACTTTCTCGGTTACCCGCGGCACAATCCCTACCCATGGGTTTAGTCATCCCATCAGTTTATCCACATGAAGAAAAGTCCGTATGCTTGTATGCATGATTCACGCTACCTCAAGTACTTGGACTGTTGCTTGGGGGGTTAGGATACTGTTTTGCACATCAAAATGGAACCCCAAACAAACATATATGCCCCACGAGGCAACTTTTCAGAACGCGTTCCATGTTATTAGGACAGAATCCACTCCAGGCAGCGCTTGGAATGGATGAATGTGAATGCTGGGATAAGCCACTTACCAACAGGTGGATTTGGTCCATCCGTAGGCAGGTGATTTCCTTCCATCTGAAGCTTGCCATGTCACTTGTTTCCCAGGTCTTAACTTCAAGTTAAGTGAGATGACACAACTTTGGTAAGGCGCTATTGCATGTGCTGGGTGCCGTAGGGTAAACACGTTTGTTTTTTTCGCCAGTGAGCTGAGTTATTGGTTTGACTTGCGGATGTGGAATGGGCATTTTGGGGTGCTTTGGCCTGGCATCTCAATCCCTGTGAGTTGATCTTTACGTGCCCAAGGCCGACCTTTCGACTTTTTAGTTTTTAGTTATGGCCAGTTTGTAGTTTTTAGTTTTGATCTTCTTTTTTAGTTTTAGTTTTTTTTTCTCCATGGGTCCTTTGGGCCACTGAGAGTCCTCCTCATGCAACAATTTGCAACAGGGCAGCACTCTGCTGGGCCGCGGGTGTGACAGGGAGTGATACAGAACCGCACTCCTGCCGTTAGGGCGCTCTTGTGCGCAGGCGCGCAGGGAGGCCACACTATATATATATATATATATATATATATTTTTCGCAGAGGAGGCGTTTTCTCGTTTTACCAACTTTTCTGGCGCCCGGGTACAACTCTTGCGACGCCGGCAATTTGCGAGTTTGGATCTGCACGTTTGGCGACACTTGGGAGCTCGGAAAGGACTCAGATGTCGTGTGAAGCCCAGCTGTGATTCTGGTGATTCCCGTTCCTGGATATCTCGCCTTTTCTTTCTCAAGGCCGGACGAGTCGGCTTCAACTTGAAACCGCTTGCAACCGTGTCCGGTTCGTGGCCAACTTGTGAGATCTGAGACGGTTTCTTTGTGGAGAAGAGCCGGCGACCCAAACAAATCGCTTCGATTCCTTCGATTTCAACGACACATCGGACCCGCGCAAAACACCAAAGCACCTGGAGTCTCCATGACCTTTACAAAATGGGTCCATGAGCCCATGAATTTGGGTCATGGACCCATTTTTAGAGGGTCAGATGGAGACTCCAGGCAAACATCCATGCCGGTGACAGGCTTCATTTGCGGCGTGGTCCCCTTTCAGTTCATAGCCTTGGTCCTCCTGCAGGCTGGTTTCCTGCCGCCTGGCAGGCTATGCATGCGGAAAGTCGAAAATGGGGGGACAATGATGTCTTCAACATGGTGTGATATAGTGTGTGTGTGGGTGTGTGTGTTTGCGTGTTTGCATGTGTGTGTGTGTGCATGTGTGTGTGACTTGTTGGCGCAGAATTGTTGGGGAAGCTTTGAGAGCAGTGCGCTGAAGTTTGCATTACCCTCCACCCAGATGTCGGGGTATGGCAGGGTGTGTCTTAAATAGGGGACCCCCCAAAATGGTGTTTTTTTTTTTTTTTTTGGGGGGGGGGGTGTTTTTTGTGTTTCCCTTGAATCCCATCAACAAGAATGGGTACCGAGCCCCAAAAAAGACAAGCCTTGCAAAATCATTCAGTGACATGTTTGGAAGTCAGCCTTTTGCTGCTCCGAGTTTCCTTCGAGGGGGTGATCAGATGGCGTGATCCTTTCTGGTTTGATGCATTTTGTCCGCCCATGATGGAGGGTTGAAGTAGGTTCTATCCCAGAGTTGTGAATGCGATGGTAGCTTAATTCATAATGCGTTCGTGAGAGCAAATTGAAGTTTTTCGATGATGAAACTGCTGGTGTGAGTCGTTTGCAAAAAGGCTACTTGTTTCATACTATTGTGCAAACCGGTGGCCCCAATGGTTTGAGCCTATGTTGGGTCTGACGCAGGCAACATGCATGTGATGCTTGCGATGTGGGTCAGCGACACTTTCGATTTCGGTTCTACCTGTCAGCCCTGCGCTGATCAGTTTGCTTGAAGCCATTGCACATCGGGCACAAACAGGGTACACCAGCTACGGTGGAGGTAGATGGCTCAATTATTGTATACACAAAGGGTATGACAAATCAACATGAGGGAATGGTGTCGACCAAATGGAAGGGGATCCCTCGTTTCTTGGGGGTACCGTGGCTTGGGTTTGAGAGCGCTTTAAGCAAGGTGTACCCTGGTCTCAAAGGGTTTTGTGTTTCCCAGAAGCCTCAAAAAGAGACACCCATTTGGTGTGGGATTTGGGGGCCCTGCGAGGCTCTCCCGAACTGGTGGTTTGGGGGTTTGGAGGTTTGGAGTTGTGGAGGTTTGGAGGTTGGGTGCCTTCCATCTGGTTTCAGAGCGGAGCTTCCAATCCCGCTCCAAGCCTTTTGATGGCCTGATGACAGTTGGTTGGCAAGGGCCCGCAACAGTCGCACCTTCTGGCAGCTGACTGTGGGTCAAAACTGGGGTAATCCCAAAATGGAACGTTGGTAAATGGAAACAAGGCCTGAAACCTGCTGTCTTCTGGTGGTTGAATTTGAAACCCAGCTGAGGTGGGATTACTACAATGACAACTGCGACAGACTTGAAGATGGCAGCTCCGTCTCCAAGGACCGCTCTTTCGTGTTTCCGGCCGAGGCAAGCCATGGCGCCATTTGGGTGTTTGTTGAGTGCGCAGGTTGGGAAACCGAAGGGAGACCACCATTTTGGGGCGTCCCTGAAAGAACCTGGAGTCCATGACCCTTTAAAAATGGGTCCATGACCAACCATGATTTTGGAGAATGGCCAACTTGTTTTTCAGTCGGTTCAAATGGAGACTCCACCCATTTGATTCGTGGGGTGTCTTGTCGCTGAAGATGAGCTGTGCGACTCGAAAGAACCCCTTCGCGCAGTTTTGCTATGGGTTGCCCGGGGAGCCGCAGCGAACGCAGCCCAGTTGGCTCCCTTGTTTCGCCTGTGCAACAGGATCACTCCTATTTGTTGTAAACAGGGTTAGCAATTTTACAACAAAATCCCAGAGGCCATTGGTGCCAGTTGATCCAGCTCACAGAGATGGGCTTGCATTCGCGAAAGCGCCAGCTGGATTGCCACAGTCGGCCTCAGCAGAATGGGCGATGTTGTACTTGTGGCACTGGATCTTGGGAAGACTGAGCAAAAATTGCTTTGGCAAACTCCAGGATCAACATGTGGGATAGGAGGCTGAGGAAAACCAACCTGGACAAGAAGATACTTTTCGGGAACTTCCTAGTAACTCTACTGCAGTCTCGGCGCGCCAGCAAGCTGCGCCAAAAACCCTGAAGTTCGCGCATAGGGCTTCCCTCAATCTCGCCGGCTGGGTTTTGGGCCGTCAAAATGGCCGGGGGGGGGTCCTTTCCGGAAAGCCAAAAGGCCGCGGCGTTGCAGTTGGCAACGAAACCGACAGGCGATGCACTTACCAGCCCAGCTCCACGTCAGCTGGTTGAACTACATGTTCGGCCTGCAGGCGAAGGGACATGTGTCTTGCCGAATAGCGTAGTCATCAGACAGATGCCTTTGAAGCATCCCTTAGGTTGAATGTGACTCCGCGCTGTTTTTTCCAAAAGTTGGACTCTGAGCCGGCAACACTGTATATTCTGGCGGTTTTTGTTCAACATGCACACTGCTGGTACCTTCCGGCTACCAAGCAGAAGGAGGCCATTCCGCTGGTCTCCGGGCAGATGTTTGGCTTGTTTGCTGCAGTCGATTGCGCTGACTGGGAGATCCCTGATTTCAGGGGTTTGAGTTGATTATTGGTTTACCATGTGTTGTTCTTGCTTGAACCAGTTTGGCAATTTCCTGTGAATTTCGAAGCACCCTTGAAACAACGAAGAGGAAAATGGGGCTCTTTGGCTGGGATCTGAGATAAACCAATGAGACAGACCCCATTCCGGCCACAGATCCCGCTTCAGCTGGAATCATTCTGGACGAGGCCAAGCGCATGAGCCGAATCCGCGGACAAGGCGGTATCATTCTAGAAACCAGCGGGAAATGCTTTACACGCCAAATACCCACCAAAACCAACTAGACCCTCAAACACCCGGAAAAAGGGGATTCACCCCTTTTTTGGCGGGGCAAAGACCCATTTTGAAGGGTATTTTGAGCGTCCAGGCATGTCCAGGCAGTTGATTCTGTATAGACTTTCCAGTAGTTCAATTAGCCTTTCTCATGTTTTGTGCCTTTTTGAGGCTACCCGGCATTTGATCGAGAAACCAGAAGGGTCACCAACGGAAATCATGACAACAACCAGCAGACGTGTTTGTTTTCTGGGGTACGCTTTTTCGGGGATGGTAAAAGGGTACGCAAAGGAACTTTACCATATTTTCCGGGCTTGTTCTGCTGTTTGGAGACAAGTCCTTTCATGTACAGTCACCCCTGCGTGCCCTCGCTGGAGCTTCGATACTCGGACAGTGCAAGAGAGCTGCACTTTAGTGTTGGGGGGGTGCTTCATGATGCCACTGTTCTATGTGACTATCTGTATTGGATTATATTAAGGTGCTGCGACCCTAACGCAGTCAAACACGACCAACCCTTGAACCCTTCGTGTTGCTGCTTAGATTCTCAGATGGTACTGCCGGCTTCAATGATAGCGAGTGCTGCAAGATGTACTAATGCACACTTGCAGTTGAGTGAATTCCCGAAGCAATGCCTCCAAAGCTGAGGAAAGGTTCTGGAATCTGGAATGCGCGCCCGAAAAGGGCCGACTGCGTGCCAGCTGCTGCTGCTGCAGCATGCTTTTCAACTTGTGTCGAACACCTGCCAGTACGTTGGTTGTCTGGCGTGGATATATGTCATCATCTCCAGCTTATCAACATTACTGCTTGGAGTTGCGGACGCGTCCAAAGCCGAAGCTAGTCTTACCCAAGTGCGGATTTAAGTTATTACCCCCGCTGAACCTTTCGAGTCACACGACAACTACTCGCTCACCGCATTCTCAACAAACCGATTGTCCGTCTTTCGCCAGGCCACGAAATGTCTGAGCGCGGCTTTGCGGACTTCCTCCATACGCCGCGGAAAAGGGGGGTCTTCAGTCTGCAATCTTAAAGGCGGTCTCCAAGTAGTGCCCTTTTGCCCTTTTTGGGAGAGGGTTCCCCAACTAAAATAGACTACAGCCAAAATTGGTATTCTTATTCTAACCTTCGGAGGACCTAGGTGATCTTGGTAAGGTTAAACATCTTTGACCATCTTCCGCATTCTTTGGGGTCCTACGGGAGTTTCTTAAAATTCCAACACGGTGGAAGCTGCTTTAGTTGGACATGAAAAGGAAAACGAAAGGGGCTCCATCCATTTTTTTGGATCTGCCCCATGAGAAGCCCCCTCCGGGTCTGATCCTTGGCCATGGGCTTGCGAACCTTTTTGGGTGCTGAAGCGGGCCTTGGCAATACTAAAGTAACATTGCCAGTACTAAAGTAAGCACTGGGAATCTGACAGTCAGCCTTGGCAATACTAAAGTAGAATTGGCCATACTAAAGCAAGTACCTGGAGTCTCCTGACCCTTTAAAAATGGGTCCATGACCCTATTATTTTGGGTTATGACCCCATTTTTCAAGGGTCATGGAGACTCCAGGTACTGTCCCTCCCAGACCCCCAAGGATTTGCTCTAAACAGGCTCCAGCTGACTGGTTGCACTGTTGCAGGGGGGGGGGCGGTGTAAAGAGGGTCCCATTTTTTTTTCGCGCGCGCCCATACTGTGGATGGACGGAATCCTGCACCACCTAAGAAACCCTGGAATGATGGTTCTCCTGTAAATGCCAACAAAACAACGGGTTCCCATGGTTTTTCCAAGTGGTGCAGAATTTCGTCCATCCACAGTATTGGTTGAAAGCTGTTTCTTACCTGGGAATCCCAAGGTGTGTAAAATTGTAAACGCTTCGCGTTGCCCGCCTCGGCCCAGCCTAGTTTGAGGGAAGGGTCAGGAACACCGAAATCCAGTGTTGGGAAGGTCCGAATACCTGAAGCTGGCTCCAGACAAGTCAGACAAGCCGGCCTCGCCTGGTTGGGCTGGGCCACAGGCTAGTCTCAGACACATCAGATAAGCCTGCGCTGGGCCTGAAGCTAGTCTCGGGCAGCTTGGCTGGACCTTGCTTGCGTGGGTTGTTGGTTGAGCTGAAGCTAGTTTACGGCGGGCTGGGCAGCCGCACTGAGGGGGCTGGGCTATGGCTGGGCTGGGCCTGAGGCCAGTTTCAGACACGTCAGACAGGCCTGCAGGCGGACTGGGCTGGGCTAGACGCTAGTTGAGCCCAGGCTGGTGAGGCCCAGTCTCGGCGCTAGATAGGCTGAGGCCTGCGAGTCTCAAACCGGGTGGGCTTGGGTGGGGTTGGCTTAGGCGGGTTGCTGGTTGGGCTGGGCCTGAAGCTAGTCTCAGCCACGAGGCTGCGAAGCCATGGGTGGTGCTGGGCAGCTGGCTTATGGTGTTGGTTGCGCCTGGAACTTCGGCTGGCTGGGCTGAGCTGTGCTTGGGCGGGTCGCTGGATGGGCTGAGGCTGGGTAGCGAGTTGCTGGCTAGGCTGGGCCTGAGGCCAGTCGCAGACACGTAAGACACGCCAGTAGGCGGGCTGAGGGACTGGGCCTGAGGCTAGTCTCAGGCTGGCGTACCTTGAGACCAGTCTCAGACTGCGCCGAAGGGGCCTGGTCAGCCTGGGCTGCTGAGTAGCTGGCATAGCTTGAGACCAGTCTCAGACACGTGAGACTGGTCGTTGGCCACTCTCAGACACGTTAGACAAACCTGACCTTGGCACACTGGGCTGGCATGCCCTGAGATGCGCTGGGGCCCAGGCTTTGGGCTGGGCCTGAAGCTAGTCTCAGCCACGAGGCTGCGAAGCCATGGGCGGGTTGCTGGCTGCCGGGCAGCCGGACCAGGCTGCTGGTTTTGCCTCGAACTTGGGCTTGGCGGGCTGGGCTGAGCTGTGCTTGGGCGGGTTGCTGGATGGGCAAGGCCTGTTTCATACACACTTGGGCCTGAGGCTGAATGGCGAGTTGGAGGCCAGTCGCAGACACGTAAGACACGCCAGCAGGCGGGCTGAAGGACTGGGCCTGAGGCTAGTCTCAGGCTTGGGCCAGACGCGAGCAGGAGGTCAAGGCCTGGCCAGCCTGGGCTGAGTTGCTTGGGCAGCCGGACTGAGGGGCGGGCTTGGTGGCTGGCATAGCTTGAGACCAGTTTCAGACACGTGAGACTGGTCGTTGGCCTGAGGCAGACACGTTAGACAAACCTGCCGGGGCCTGGGCTGGGCGCTGGGCTGGGCTTGATGACTTGGGGTAGGCCTGTTTCAGAGAAGCTTGGGCCTGAGGCTGGGTGGGCTGGGCTGACAGGCCTGGCCAGCAGGCGGGTTGCTGGTTGGGCTGGGCCTGAGCCTAGTCTCAGACACGTCAGGCAGGCCTGGCCACCAGGAGGTCATGCTTTTCAGGACAAAAAAGCATTTTTTGTGATTTTCGCAATTGTCAGCACATTTTCGACAAAAATGGACCCATGGAGCTGGACGCCGACGAACCCCGAAAATTTCAAGGCCCGCCGGACAGGATTTTGGGTCCAGCCGACATGGGTGGGGGGGGGGGGGGCGGCCCGGCAAAATTTTGAGGGAAGCGAAGATTCTCTTTGGAGAAGAGATCTGAGCCCCCTTGGCCCCTTTGGGGCCGAGGCGAATTTCCGCCTTTTGAACGAAAACTGCTTTTTGAGTCTGGGAACATAAATTTCTGCCTCCAGGCGTTTTTGGGGGAAACTGACTTTTTGCAAGGTCAAACTGGTACGCCAATCAAACGGCGTTTTTTGGCGATCAAACGGCGTTTTTGGCCATTCACAGCAGTCCTTGAATATTGACGAATTGCTCCAACGGCGTTTTGGGGGACAAAAAGCGTTTTTTGGCAGCAACGGCGAAAAATAGTGCAATTTCAATCAGCAGCAGAAATTCAGCACCGCCGGGCTTTCCAGGTATGGTTTAAGCCGGTTGAATCGTCCAGCAATGGATCTTTGTGCCTTGAAGCGGCAGGAGAAGATTCCCGCGCCCGGGCACAACAGCAACACCGAGCCGAAGGTCGGAGCCAAGTCTCGTGTCGGAGCTCGAACCTGGAGTCTCCTTCTGACCCTTATAAGAAATGGTTGGTCATTACCCAAAATAATGGGGTCATGCATGGACCCATTTTTAAGGATGGAGACTCCAGGAAGAGCATTCTTTACGGGTGCGGGGCGAAAAGTCCGACACCTGCAATTGAAGCCAGTTGACCCCCAAGATTGCCAGTGTCAGGGCGCGGACGTCACAGTGGCTGCTTTACTCGTAATTCCCATCATTGGCAGTCTCAAGTTTGCAGATGAGGAGCATGGACCTCTCTAGGCATATCCCCCAGCCGCACGAAGGTCTTGAGTGTCACTCACCGGTCTCGAGCTGGGTTGCTTCAGTGCTAACCCATCTGTTTGCCCTGACGAACAGCCCCCCGTCCTGGTTGCCGCTGTTGGTGTGGCAAGTGAGCAGCAAAGGCGACGGAACCGTTGCCCTTGAACCGGCTCCTGATCCCAACTCCCGCCTTGTCTGACCCCACTTCGCGTCACAAGTCCTGCCTGAGTCGAGGCTTAAGCTGCTCTCCAGGTTCCTTTGGCCAGGGAACCCGGCAGGTAGCAACTTGAGTTTCGTGGTCTTTCCTCGATGTCAAGGGGCCTGTCTCCTTCTGACCCTTTAAAAATGGGTCCATGACCCACAATAATGGGGTCATGGACCCATTTTTTAAGGGTCATGGAGACTCCAGGTACTGCAATTATTCTTTGGACATGCGCGAAGGAAGGCCGCGGAAGGGTTTTGTCCGAAGATCGTGACAGGCTTTGTGGCCTATGTTTTGCTGACGCCGTTGTTTCGACAGACGAATGTTTCCAACGATCAAGCAGCGACTTAGTGACTGACGGCACGTGCCAAAAGCGGCCAGAGGGAATCCAGGGAACAGAATCAATCCCACTTCGCGG